TAGTGAAATATATTACATAAATACGCCTCTAATTCAGGTGTAACCTGAGTGGTCGAGTGCAGCTACAAGCAACCGAGTTGTGGCTACTATTCTAGAAAGACGTCACCTTCCATAATTAATAGAAAAGAGCAGCCATTGGGATCAATTGTTGTTTCAAGTAGATTCATAAAGTGAACTTTTCTCGACGTAATAATCATCTCATGGCCACAACGACGGGCAGATATTGATATAAAAACTGATCGTTTTAACCCGTTAAGGATAAGGTATACGCAATAAATTCGTCGTTAGATTCAACTAAACGTCATTCTTATTCTAATTTTCTAATACAAATCACGTAAAAATCGATATATATCCATCATATGTTAAAAATGGTTTTAGACGTAATTCAAGCAGCATTAGATTGTGTATCCGCTTATCCATGGAGCTAAAAAAACTAGTGTCTAACCATTTTTTGCTTTTTACCATGTATGAATATACTGTCTCAAAGGTGTCAAACTTTGCAATGGTATGTATAAACAACTTTTTTTATTCAAGTATAATATAATATTTGCATTAGACAGCTAGCATTTCAGTAATTTTGAAGATTGGATTTTCAATGACCAGGTTCCGAATAAGGTTGCCGTCTTTGGCTCGTTCTCCAATGCCATTTCAGTGATAATTCCAGGAGACTGCAAATTTTCCGGCACTGAGCGGAAGATCAGCAACACAACAATCTTCGATCGAGCGTACAGTTTCGGCAGTGACTCCTGTAGAACTGTTTAGGTTGGCAAATGGTGCACTTACCAACAATTGTACAAAATGAAATGAAATAAAGTAACAGAGACTCTCGTCAGCGTTGTTAAGACTACAAATAAACTGCCATGCGCTATTCCTAGCTTTCGTCTTTGACTATTGATACAGTTTCCTTTTACTTCTAACTAGAAGCATATACACTGTCATTGCGCATGGCTCACCAGCCTCGACTACTATAATGTCTGAGGCTGACTAACACAAATACCCGCCGTCGAGTACTATAAACTCGTCAACGACCTTATACGGTACTAATCAGGTTGTCGTCGTCGTCCATCGTCCGCTCGTCTCTTTGTTTGTCCTCGCTTGGACGTTCTCACTTAGTGCGCCAGCCAGTTAGTGAATTGGCGACTCTCTGCTGTCTTTAACGACCAACACGCCAATATGACTAAACCATACAACCGGTGTTAGTCAGTGTAAACTGACTCTATGCTACGCAAGGTCAGTGTAATAAGTAAAGGGCTCTGTTACTTTAACGGTGCCCGCAAAGGTCGCTTGCAGACCTCGCATACCTGGAACTCGAATCTCCCGCACGCACCGTCCTCGCAATAGTAACGTTTTTGATGTTAACAGGCAAACGTAGCTGTGGTCTAGATTCGAATCCGGGCATAGGCAGGCACTTACTTGATTTTCAGGCATAGATCCTGCACCAACAAATGCATAAGTAATCATTCCTTATTTTGCTCGATACCTCGGAGTACCTACCGGATAAATGACTGAGACAATGCCAAAGAGCGCTACAAGGACCTGTTATAGAAGGGGCAATTGAAAGTTGGTTTTGAAAAATCCTTTTAGCTTATACATACACTTGTCCGAACATAAATGCACAAGAATGTTTACAATATAGATACATTATGCTTGAGAAAAAGTACGACAAATTCAATATACTCAAGTAGAAATGCCTAGAGTATGGTCGCTTTAGCACTATTCCAATAGAAGAAGAGTAATGGTCGAATATCTAGGGGAATCGTGCTCTTAATGAGGTATACGTGATTAGAATATATAGTTACAAGCTTTAATTATGTTACATTAGAATCAAAATCCTTTGGTAGCGGTACAAAAGTAAGAGCACAATTTAGCCCCTAAAAAAACAAATTCCATTATCTTCTTTAATGCCTTCTGAAGCTGATAGTTGCTTACTCCCAGTGTAATTATACATGGATGTATGTGCGTGTGTATGTAAAAATTCATTTTGGAGTACATCTTTGTTAATCATGTTATACTATGAGGGACATTCATAATATACGGGGAATAACAGCCTTTGAATGAATAATGGTAGAACGAATACACCGTATCTCTTCCTCGTCTACATTTCTCTCCTACCCGATCCCGCCTAAGTTAGCCACGGTACGACGCGTCAGTGTCAATGACGCGACGCTAAAGCCAAGCCGCTGGTATGCGGTCGCAGCAGAATATTGAAGCGCAATATCGTTACTGATCTTGGGGGCGCGCGGCAACTCATGGCATCCTTATCGCTAGGCTAACTATAGAATTGGTAACGGAGGCGACGCCGGCCTTTTGTTCCCCTTCGATGGCCATCCGGTCGCATCACACGCCGTTAACCCAGCTTCGACCGACCAGTCAGCCTATCAGCTAACAATATGGGCAACGGTAACAGTGGCGACAACAACCTTGCCAAACAACAGCAGAAGCTGCATAAAACCCGCTGCCAGCAGCATCTTCTGGTAACAGCACCAACCTTTTTTCTTTTCCCGCGTTTTTCCTCTTACCTTCTCTTGCTCACCCCATTCATAACTCAACGTGAATTTCTGGCATGAAGCCGATGGTATTCAACGAAGCCGCTGCCGGCGGAGTTTTTTTCTCTGTTAGCAACTGGATGCAGAGCTAGCAACAACTCTAGCGAGCGCAGTCGTCGTTCTACTGGAGCACTAGCGTGATTCGCAATCTGCTGCTCGCTACTGACACAGACTACTATAACAACATTAATAATAACAATAATAATAATAAATAATACGGCAACAACGACTGCTTCTAGCGCCATCAAGAATTGAAATAATGGTGAATAGCAGAAGCGTCGTCGCTGCAGCGATAGGAGCCGACGGAACAGACAGCAACAGTAACCGCTCTGCTGGTTTTGAACTGAGCGTCAGGCAGCTGCAGCAACGAACTCAGCGCCATGGCAACCGACGCATAACAGCGAACAGCGGCAGAGCCATCGTCAACGACAACGAGGAAAACTCAACGAACTGCAGCAACACGATTATGTTGCTGACGCCATCTCGCGGCTGACACAACAACTGCCAACGGTAGCTTTCGCTGAGCGTCAGCAAAAATACCCTTGACAATTCAGCGAAAAGAAGTCGAATAACGCGTCTGCTGCTACGACTGGTTTCTTTGGGAACAAGCAAACAGAAGAAGCGACGATAGGCCCAACAATAGGTTGAAGCTGGGAAGTAAAAGGAAAATAGGCAGGCAGCAAAAAAGGGCAAAATAAACAACTATATAAGTCATAATATTATCCACAATGATAATAGAATTAAAAGATTAACATTGGTAAGAGATTCGAATGATCTGAAGTAAAAGACCCCGCAACGAAGACGGCGCCGGTGACAAAAATCACAATAGCCTCGGTCAAGGGAGTTAGTTCTTGCGATTATAGCCAGCTCGCCATTATCCGCCGACTTATCACTAAAACCTACAAATTCGGAAATAAACTGGCAGCTCTTATCACAATAGACCAATTTTTTTTCTAGAGCAAAGTTACAGTACATGAAACAATGCCATGTTGTTTTTAATTTGTACTGATAACTACTATAGCACAGAGCTTTGTAATGATTATTTGAAGAACATAACCTACGTGTTGTAAGCAGAAACGTTTGCATTGTTTGCATTATTTTTCTCATAGATGTTTACCAAGAACTATGTCGAGCAGGCCTACCTAATACCTCTCTTCAAACTATGCAAGCTTCGGTTGGTCCATTTCGTTATTAATCATTATTCCATTAATGGTACGGTATCTCAACGTCATTCTGATTGTTGACGTTACTGTCTGACTTTTACTAATTCTAGTAGACAGTAAAGATGTCAACTTCCTGCTTATTTAAATAGATCAAATAGTACATTTGTGATTTTCATTTTCATTTGACAAAAGATGACACAAATACAGAATAATGCGTAAATAATTTCATTACACAAATGATAATTTGGTTTAGTAAAATTTAATCACCTTTGTCAGATATATCACAAAAATAATTACATAACAACATCGTGCAAAAACTTATTCTTGCAGCAGTTAATGAGAAGAGATCAGTAGTAATACGCTTTCGCGATATTTAATACGCCCGGTTTATTAGCGAGATCATGCTATCTATTACTACACTGTTTTCCGCATCTGCTACATACACACATTTCATTTAACTCAATGTTAACCAAGTAATTAAGATGGCTTATAGCTTACCACTGAAACCATACACCACACATTATAACATCAATTAGAAAAAACCAAGGCATCTGCTTTAATGAGCTAACATGAAGGTGATAGATCAGAGCGGCCATATATCAGTACACATAGTATGTAATGTCGAATTTATGAAAACGCGACTTTAACCGGATCTGCCTATGGACGAATAGACGCTGCCGGCAGCTATTTACATGCCTAATGCGCTACTAGTTAAAACTAGAGAAGAGTCACTATTTTTTTCCCACATTTCTGTCTATCGCGCAGAATTGCATCCTATAGGTCTGATGGATGTGCCTAACAAATGCTAAGATTTAAACATTTCACGCACGTAACCTTCTCAGGAATATGCAGGGTCACACGGATTACACACTAAGAGAAGGACTTTTATGGTCACAAAAAAAGCCATTATAACCCAGATACAGCATTAGTGGCCCCATTAATTATACTACGTTGTAGAACATGTGAAACGATGACTAACTGAGGGAAACCGGGCAGTCAAGTTGAGATGTAGAAGGCGCCACCTCGTCTGACACAGACGGATCTTTGTCTATGGAAAACGCTCTCGACAGAGAGGGCTGTGTGTAGCCAGAAACGTCACACCGGCGGGAACGAATCATAACACAGGATAGAGTAGGGAGATTGTACTAAAGCATCAGTCACCAGTACGTCCCGGGTCTCGCGCTAAAAGATAGCCCGCGTACATAGGCGCAGTTTGACATATAATACTGCCTGCAAGCATTCTGTCCCATTATTCCCTATTGACTCTGGAACGTACTCGCGCACACTTTACCTTTGAGAGCAGAGCATCAATTCTTCGGTTCATCACGTCAACATCATTTCACTTTGTTGGCTTAAGCGACGATGCCTGCTACTGTTGCCGCGGTTGCGAATATCAACGTTGATACCGGTAACGTTAAGTGTTTGAAGCCCGCAGACAGGTCAACCGCCAGCTGAAACCTTACGTCGCTTCGGTGGTCAATGTCTCCAAGCAACATGTACCATAAACACTCACTAACGAACGACTCGGCACAACAGAAGCAGCTGTAGAAAAACAACAGCACCACACAAATATAACAACAATCTACAAATCAATTAACATATATACTTTCTGGACAAAAACACTCCGTTGGTCTTGAATATTTTGTTTTTTTCTCTTGCACATTTATAGTTCTGTTTCGGAGTCCTGTGTGTTCGAATTCTCCGTCACCTCGACATGTTTCCTGGAGCCTGCAAGGCACTCCCTTGGCAAAAAGCCTCAACGACCGACGGTCCCAAATAAACAGACACACAGACGGACGGGACCGGAAGGCTGGTAGCGGCGGCGGCGGCGACGGCGGTGGCCGTTAGTTGTCGATGTTGCCACAATGTGCGTTGCTGTGCTGAAAACACGAATGGTGACTGTATCACCTACAAGGGCATACATACACACACACACACAAATAGAACGCCTGCCGCTGTACCGCCCTCCACTCACTGTATACACGGATAGACAACCCACACACCATCAACAAAACACAACAGTACACGATCAACAACTATCACAACGAAACAACACAGAGAGCACGCAGCGGCAACGGCAGTTCTTCCATATCGAAGCACTAAACACTTGACATCAACCGCACAGAGCTACCTTATACAGGCTAGCATAGTTCCGAAATATTCGTGAACAACTCCGCCCACTTATTCTATACGCGCGATAGCTCAAATCAGCCTTTAAGCAGACGACAGGAGGATGGGTGTATATAATTGTCAAGAGTTATGTAGATGACGTCCTTATGACGACTGTATACTTGTTGGTAAATGTCAGTAATTATACGACACGGCACAACCTCACCACTCTGTTTGTCGCTACATGGTTTTTAGTGCGTGCCAATGATGTTTTTATTCGGGATCAGTGCTCGGTCGGTGCAACAAGCTGAGGTAGCTTTAATATAGCATAGAAGCTTCCGTCTTTCAGTACGACCAAGAGTGCCCTTTTACCGACCAAGTACATGACATCGTATAAATAAGTTACCAAAATGTCTGAATTGTTTTTTGTTGTAGGCGCCTTAGACTTGTAAATCCTATATTAGGAAGTTTGTAAATGAATTTAAAATTTGAGCTACGATAAATAAATCTGCTTTTACTGTTCGGCTGGTTTCAAGGACTCATCGGCATAAACCCTACACACGTATACCTATCCCTACCGTGCCCGGTCAAAATGAGGTATCTTTAGAAAATTCATTTTATAATTAAACGTGAATTTTAGGTTATTTGTTGCAAAATGAATTAGTGTATGAAGAATTTATGATATACTTGTGTCATTCTCAACTACGATCTCGACGAATTAATTGTTATTTAGATGCTTGTTACACAATTAGCAGCTTTGATTAAATATTTCAAACCATGATGTTAAAGGTTCTTGTCGTTTATCTGAAACAGGTAAAACTTATTCTCTCAAACTTGTCGCTGAGGCTGGTTGTACACTTTTCATTATTACTCGAAAGTCAACTTTTACAACAATTAAATACACATGAACAAATGAGTTCTAAAGGACACAAACGGCGAGAAAATATTATTAAGAGCCTTTTTTAAGAGGAGATCTGTTGTGCAAGGTATTACGAGTAAGGAGAGACAACAACTAACAGAATGCTACAAATTCTAACAGAAGTGGACACAACAGTCCGAGTTTTATGGATGCGGTTGCAGTCGAATCACTAAAAAGTCAATGAGTCGGTGAAACTCTAAAAAGTTAATGAGTATTTTGATTTTAAGTCTATCATGAGAGGAATTCTCCGTACTGCTGAATTAGAAAATACTTTAAGATATTATGTTAGTATGAAAGGGTTGAGATTTTTTAAAATTAATTTCAGGATCTTTTAAAATTAATCATGGAAAACGTCCAAGCTCCCATTCTCACACCTTTTATAATAATTCTATTGCTTACTGTTGTCCATAGCTGAAGTTACTTTCATTCAGTGAATGATCTTTATTACAAGTTCATCCGTTGCCTTTTAGTATTTATGAACATGGTCTTCTCAAAGCTCTTTTAAATTTGCTAGCAGCTAGTAGCGTCGCAGTAACGAGGAGCATAACTGTGCTGTAGTAGAGTGTCTCATGATAAGCACTTGTTGCCTTGCGTAATTCAAACGTGTAATTAAATTAAGTTAAATAATTTTGGAAAAATAAAAGACCTATCACTAAGATAAGAAGAAGACATTCTTAAAACAAATAAATGGCCTTTGGCGGCTTAATTGATTGTAAATACATACAGCTGTTTGGCGCTGTGTAAATTAGATATTGATTGAGGCTTCTATTGGTAGCTTCAGCATCACAGATCGGGTTGACTATCGAGGAAGAAGAGATCATCATGCCATTGTTTTCATAGGGCTATACTCTTAGTCAGACGACAAGAATACTAGGTAATCGTTGAGCAGTCTGTCTGTCTGTTAAAGTCTCACAGTTACCAGAGAACTAGTAGTTAAAATTTCAGTTAGTGTAACTGTTCGGGTTTGAGTCCTTGTATCTTCGTTTACTATATTATTGATTGTGACTAGTGGCTTGTTTTGTCAAGGCTTTCCTAACGTTACCTTCATACCCCGTCGATATGGCGGGGAGCTCGAATCCAATCGTGAACGCAGTCAATAAACTGCTTGACTGGATAAAATCTCTCTTTTGGAAGGAGGAGATGGAGCTGACACTTGTCGGCCTTCAATATTCTGGAAAGACGACCTTTGTTAACGTTATCTCGGTAAGTCATTTCTGCTCATGTTATAGCCCGTGATATAACACCTAAAAAAAGTTAATGCTCAAGATAGCGCTTAATTAAACAGCTACGTTGGCTAAGCTTGTGGCTGTTTTGAATAATATCCCTGTGTATGTTAAGCGGTGGCTGAGATAATAGTAACTGTTGTAGAATAGTCGTTACAAATTTTTCAGCCTCAACATGGTACGTAAGAGTAATGGTTATGGTTTAGCAAGGCATGAAAATAGGCCTCACCGAATAATAGTTCAAAATTTTGATATTTCGATTCTTTTCGTTGAAATCATATGGCATTATTAGCATCAAGTATATTCTCAAGCCGTCTTAGAAGGTAACATCGTATATCTGAAGGCACTAGATCCATATTTTTTATGTCAGCTGTAACATATTCCGCATAGTTTTTTCAATGCGTGTACTTGAGATCAAATTGATTTTTAGCTATACATAAAAGGCATTTAGTCTATACTGTTGTGACGACGCCCCACACCGTCGTCACAACAGTATAGACTACTGAGCTTTGCCTACTGAGAGTACAAAACAGACTGAGTAACTTTTGCACCTCAGACTCACTCCGATAAGCCAGTCTCTACATAAGTTCTCTGATTTGTTGAATGATCAACAACAAAGTAAAGTGGCATACCAGAAGTGTATTCTCACTCCTCGATCGACCTTTGAAAGCCGATTTATTCGTTCGTTTGTTTTTGGTGGCTTAAGCGTGTATATCAGGCGTTTCAACAGCATCAGATAAAGGGACACAATGCGGTCAATATTGCTCCTAACCTAGATCATCGTATATAGACTCCTATAGATACTCCTTTCTACATATACTATACGGCTTTATAAAAATAAAAAGATAAGCGAATGCAGGCGCTGAACAAAGATATCAGCTGCGCGTTCAATCGTGAGACTCTGAAACAAAGATAAAACTACAGAAGCCACTATTACAACATTTAGTGCTATAGGAAATTAACACTATGATTTTTGCCAATAATGTATTAAAAAGAATCATTGTTGGAACAAACAACGCGTGTCGACTTCGTTATTGGCATGTTGCGATCTGATTTAAGAATTCTAGTTGTACCTCTAACACTTATCGGGAATGATATTGATACCTCTTTTATGGAATTAAAAGTCAGGTTTTCGGTTAGTCCCTAGTATGTAGAAAATTAGATTACTCAGTTGTTGAACCAACTCAATTATTGTGTCATTATTTATTCGATGTGAGAGAAAAAAAAGCTACCGAGTACGCTCGTTCTTACTGTCTCTAGTGTAATGTAGCTCTATGTTGCTGTCACATTTTAAGTCTTAATGCTAGGGCAACAAAACGCTTTCATTGTGTTGAAATAGTATTCTATTAATGTACTTAACTATTTAAGTACATTCATAGAATTTAGCTCGATTTACCAGAACGCACCACCAAATAGACACTGCAATCGATGGCCAACAGTGGTTGACAGACTGCAACGAAAAGGTATACCAACTTTTGTCGGCACCGGAACTCCTGCCAGGAGGTTACCAACGAAGAAATATCTAATTCGTAATCGAGATATGTCTCATTGAAATAACTTAAGATCCAGCGAAAGTTAAACCGCAGTGTTTAGCACAATTAACACAAGTCGCTTCCCCACTGCTTCGTAGTCCCATCATCTCTCAATTTAAGTAACTGTATACAAGTGTCGTTTTCCTCTTTTATTAATGCAATGTTCCGATTATATCAACTAGAGATCTTCATTGAAATACTTTTTTCTTATATTTGCGAGTGGTAGTGCTTTTTATGATCAAGTAAACCGCAACGGTGGCACAAATTCAGCATAACTCACATAAATATATTCTTTTCATAAACAAAGTGAAAGCGGTGCAGTGTCAACATGTTTTTTCTGACCTCTGTCTTTATTTACGTAAATGTATATATATATATATCTTGTTAACGTCGAGAAGTCGTTAGCTTTTTCAACCGTAGAAAACAGCTGTTTTTCATATACTTGAATTCTGCGTGAATCAAATCACATAAAACTTTTATGAATTTTTTTTTGAGATTCTATACGAAACAAATCTGTCGCGTAGGATTTTCTTTATCTGTTTTGCTGCAAACATTTTTGTTGAAATCTCTGCTGCTGTTAGAACAACAACCACATCAACTTACATGCGGAATCCTGCTTTAGAACATTTTGCGCGGGAAATTTTGACTTCAAGAACGCTGCTCACTCAGGTCAATTCTCTATGCTTGAAAACAACGAGACGTAATCAACCACTAAAAAAAGGGGACGGCATGGCAGTTCACATGACCAATGCGCATCGCTCTGGGTGCGTTGCCATAGTAACCACGAACGTAGTACGATCGCTGGTTCGAATCTAAGAGTTGTCCTATGGTTAGTATGACATGATGTTACCATGCCGCTTCACTGTTCTGTTGGAGAAAAGAGGATTCAGTAGTATAGTCAAAGGAGATGTCACACAAAACCACAGAATGGCAATAGGTAAACCTCAAAAATGGAGTCATTGGATAAGGAAAAGCGACGTCTTTACATCTTTACAAAATCTAGAAAATACGCCATGGGAGAACTTCGTTATTCACAGTTGGAAAGAATGGTAGCAGCCCATTCTCTTCCAAAAGAATAGTATTCTCCAGCAGGATAACACACGGACATACACTGCTAGGGTGAGTCATTATGGCATTACGCATTAACAGGAACAATAAGAAATTTCGCTGTGCCCCTCGTATTCATTACCTTACTTTGTAGCCGTCGACGTCCATCATCAAAACGTTCTTGGCCACCAGCTTACAGAGGATTAACTACCACGTCCTCATTTTTCACACGTTCAAATGAAAACTTTTAAGAACCTAAACTCATTCTTTGCATGTTCGACGGCGGAGACGCGTGTCTACCATAATATTATGTAGCGGGGATTACTTTGTACGGTGAATACCGCTTGGCTAGTCAGCTAATCTGAATTGTGTTTTATATCTAAAGTAAACACCACTGGAAGATTTTTTGCTTCTATATTTGTGCAGCACATATAATATTTTTATTGACTCTTCAGAAAACCTGTAGCAGAAAAATAGGACTAAAGAAGGAGAACATCATTTAAATGCATTTTCTTTCGTGCTGTAAGACGTTACTTGCTCATGGTATTGCTTACCATATTTATGTATTATCCATCGTGAGACAGGTTATATGAATAATAAACCAGGATTAATTAATTATGAGGTAACTAGTAGTCGTGGTAATTTATGCTTTTAAAATAGGTGTTCAAGACAGCGTTGCTATTCCACACCTCAAGTGAACTTTTTGCATTATGCGTTCGACGACCTTATAAGGAAACGCCATTTTAAAAAAAGTAATAAACTTTATTTAAAAAAGGCTAAGAGAAAGAGCGCACGTCGTGTAACTTTGTGCTGTAGCAAGGAAATTGATTTCCTGGATATCTATCATAATGCATCCTCAGTTTATTTGATACACAGAAGTTGGTCAGAATGCACATAAACATGAATGCAGCGCATTAGTGACACCTTTATCCTGACACTGGGTATCCCTAGTTATGCCTGGTGTGGCCTAGACCATGAAGCATTTCTATTCAGAGAAAGACGCACATTGCCGGTTCTATCGTTGATGTAGGGTAATTTTCTTCTTGAGAAAAAATCATCGCGCTGAATTGATCAGGCATAGTAATATGGATGAACCGTACCTAGATGTATCGAGTAGAGCAAAAGTGAGCGTAAGTTCTGAAAAGGTGAACCCGATTAGAAAAAGATTGGCTTAGTGGAAAAAATAAGAATGAGAAAAGAAGCGCATATATTTATTTATTTTACAACTACTTGATGCGTCTACTATGATAACATTAGAACGGCACTCCTACTTACTGTTCCAACTCGACGCTACCTTTTCTGTAACATTTGCTCTAGTCAACTTGTAAAATAAAGGTCTGCCGGAAAGCACGTAGCTCGTCTGCGTAACAGGAGTAGCGAGAGGGTCTCGTAAAGGTCTTTTTACTGCATGGAATTCAGATAGCAATGATTTTTATTTGGATTGAAAAGTCGCGACTAGTTGGTAAGAACTTTTCAAAAAGGGACAGGATGATGGAGTTGTAATAGAGCAGAATGCAAGCGATTTGTACAAGAAAAAAATTACTGATGCATAAACATCCACAGGAAAGTTTGATTGTTGCCACACAAATATTACTGACTCCTCAACTGATATATTTGTCCTGGCAGCTTTGTAAATCATATTAATTATTAAGACTTGATTATTATGAGCAGAATCGAATCGTTTAAGTCGATTTCGGATCCTATGTTTGAGGGCGGTTTTTTCAATTTACATATATTTTGTACGTAGAAATCATACTCGTACAAGGGTTGTCTAAAACACAGAGTTTTGTATGTATTCTAAACGATTCCAACAATTTATTTTTAAGCGTAAAAGTTCATGCACTAAAGTGCGGCTCCAAAGAAAAGGATTACTTGAAAGTATAGTCCTTGTATTTCCAAACCCATCGCACTGAAAAGCCCGAGGGCTCATTTCATGCGATTTCTATTGAGTGATTCATTATAGAGTCACATATGTACGCTGTGTTCATTCAGTTTCTTTGGATGCACCCGGATTACTAGATAAACGTGACGTCGAAAAACGCGAGTGGAACATGCAGGCACGAGACCGCAGGTCTCACATAAGACCGCAAGGTCGTTATAAACAATTTATGAAAAATTGGCTGTCTCCATAGATTAGTATGCCGTTCGTTCAAAACATAAGGTTACCGGGTGCTCAATGGCATCATACGATTATGGCGCTTCGTGACGTATTGCTTACCACTGTTCCATTTGATTTTCGTCAATCCCGACTCATAGTTCATAGAAGCTAGCAAGCATCTTTTAACTGGCTTAATTTAGGCTCTACCAGGCGTTTCAATAAGTTCTCAGAACAGTATATAAAGGAAGTCACTCACCTCGAGATTTTTACACCGTTAGACACATTTTTTTCTAGGCAGCAATCGCCAGTGTTTAAGTGGACAGCAAAGTAACATGGCAGGCAGGCTTTCAACATAACTAGAGAAAAGGCGCGCGGTACCAGTAAGTAGTTTTATTCGAAGGGTTTAATGCCTATAGCTGTACATTAGATGATGGAATGTGGGTGCATCGATAAACCAATAAAGTCCCGAAAATAATGTCAATACAGTCAATCTGCTCTAACTTGTTTAAAAGTTCTAGCAGAGAAAGAATTAAAATAGGAGCAGTCTTTTAGAATGCCGGGCGTTAAGTATTTTTTATGAATGATCTAAAGTAGATTATGGCACTGCTGTACAACTATTTTGGGTCACTTGGAGGTGGGTAATGTATATAAAACTCCACTTAGAGGCGAAAATGCAGGTCCCTACAGGCCGCTCCTTTAGGCTAACTAAATGAAATTTGACTCATATCGCACAATGTAAGCCTTTTTCTTGGTTACTTGTGCCTATTTTCAAATTTTAAAGGAATTATTAAGGGAAAGTAAGCTGGGCAACAATTCAATTTTATGCTATTAATCCACCCTTAGGATAAGCGTCGTGAATTCCTGTCTGGTACGTAAATAGACGCCCCTATACCAATGTGCTAACAAAATACTGTTGTCGAGAGTGATGGAATATACTTTCTAAGATAAATAATAGTAATTTGGACATATATAATATTTTTGTTATAAAGAAGTGCGAAAATATATAACAGCTCAGTGGCGATTGTTGCGGCTTGTACGCCAAGCAAGGAGGTTGTTAACTGCTGCATGTTTTTCAGCTGTGGTTTCTGGTTGAACGTTTTTACTGCTTCGAGCATTCGTTGAAACCTTATCAAAGAAGCGCCTTGCTGTATCTCCATCTTCCTGATAGCTGTTAATCATTTTTGTATCGTGTTGCTTCAATAATTAAAGTGCATTTTTATATCCTATGTCATAAGTTCTGATATAAACATTATCCCTTGCTACGCCTATGCCCCACCTGGCAAGGCATATATCAGCAGAAGAAGGATGTATTCTCTGTAAAGTTTTATGTACCGTTTAGAATCTTTAATTTTAAAATCTTTGAAAAAACTTGTCACTTGTCTACATGGGCAAGTGACAAAAACTGATCCTTAAAAGATAATTTTCTAGCCTCACACAAATTGGTGCAAATGGCTGCGTTAGAGCTGACCAGTGGAAAATTCTCCATTTTTAATCTTCTAGATAGCTTTAATCTAAATTTGTTTTAAGTATGAAACATTCTAAATAATATTTTTATAAAAACGCTTATAAAGATCGTGTTGTATGTGCTTTTTTTCAGTCGGAAAAGTTTAGTGAAGACATGATTCCAACAGTCGGATTCAATATGCGAAAAATCACCAAAGGAAATGTTACTATTAAGGTACGTAGTTTTTCACTTCTACTTTGCTTCAAAACCAGTGGGTTTTACGGAGAAAATTATGCGTAATTTCTCATATATTTTTTGATAATTCTTATAGAAAAAGTGATACATTATAGCTGTGCTTTTTTGTTTTGGCCGAATAACTTTGGCCAATAAACTAGCTTTGGCATAATAACCGAACATAATAACCGATGGTTTGGCTGAACTAAATGATGTGCACCCAGAATAAGTTGTATTAAGCAAACATAAGCGCATATGATGATCTGAACAAACCTAGCTTCTGATGTCAGATGTTGCTTTAGAAACATAGAAAGAATGAATAAACAAATATTGTTTCAGATGTGGGACATTGGTGGCCAGCCCCGTTTCCGTAGTATGTGGGAACGATACTGCCGAGGTGTTAACGCCATTGTGTAAGTACTTCGTAGATCGTAATTTTCAAGCTCTGTAAAAATAGGCAGGGCATAGGATTTAAAAAAAAATTATTAAATATTTCGCATATTTACAACCAAAGAATAAATGGTGCTCACTGTGAAACTAGTTAACAACATGTAACATATGTGGACGTGTCATTGAGGAAACGGATGTCTCGAGAAGCGAAAACCAGGAAAATACGGTAATGAATTGGAATGATAACAAGAACGTTTTAATGGGAAAGCATTATTAGGTAAAAAAAAAAGGTAACGAGATTACGGCCACCTGATAGGTCCGCACTTGAGCTATAATTTATACTTAATATAAACTTAATTAATGTTTCAAAAGCCGACCGGGATTATGTGCCTAAAGCTTAAAGTTAGCAGAATGCTAATGGAGTAAACTGTGTTTTATCTTTTCTTGGTAATTTCGGAGTTGATATTTGCTATTTTTTCAATTTATGCAACACACGCATTCTATGATAACAGATAATAACAACAGGAGGACATAACGAGTGGCAAAAAAGGCTTAAATAGATCACCCAAACAGACAACAGGGTCATTGATTAGTGCCATATTCTATCCATAACGGATGTTAGTTAGATGTAGCCAATAACTGGGACATGGTAATAGGATAACAGCTCTAAGGTAAAGGGTTTATTAAGACGATATAATAATTGACTAAATCAAGAACATAGAGTTAATGTAGCCACATAGCTGCCACAAGGTCATGTAATTATTTATTAACAAAATTCGTTAGGATTAGGGCACGAAACAGGATAACTGCAACGGTATAACGGTTGATGTGCTATAGTTTATGTTAGACTAAATATTATCAATTAAGCAGGTAGATCAATTAAGTAAACAAACGTGGAGTGAAACCCGTAGTTCAATACAAACTAATTTAACTTCATGATATCTGACCCGAGTGATCGCATAGCTGAGCCTTTTTATCTTTATTTGAGGATCAGCTGAGAAATAACTTTAAATTATGCTCTATTTGACTTACAATAACCCACGTCCATCCACATTAACAAACATTGCTCGGTCAACAAATGTTGCGCATTTCGCTTGCCCGATGTCTTACTTTTGGCGTGGTATTAAGATATTTTTTCAATATTTATTTTATTATAAATATTACCCCTATAAATATTAGAGCCGTTGGTACCGTCAAATAAACCGGCGTTGCATGATAGTTGCATGTTTGTAGTTAGAGTACCATCACATATTTTCATTTCAAATAGTACGGCAAAAAACATACCTCATGTAGTAAAAATATGACGCCTGAGCCGTTCTACTGAATATGGTGGGAAACTAAATCACAATAGTATAGACAGAAAATTACAGGTGAATTACGGAAGTTGTCGAAGCAGTTAAATCGCCATATTTTTATTTTTGCTGCCCAGTATTTTTTTGCTATGTCGTTTAGATTTTAATCTTAAATCATCCCTCAAATACTGGGTCAGAAAAAAAATTGTATCATTGATATGTCTATGTATTGGAGTATGTCCTGGAGTATATGGCACATGTTTCCTCTTGACTTATAAGAATTCACATAGCAAGCTGTTTTATCTAAAATTACTGGAATACGTTACCTTGCGTAAGTAAAGGGCTATTTTTGTCGGCATGTTTGCGCGCACAAAAAACCGATTAGGTTATAGTCCCCATTTGTGAATATTCGCTTCAACATGACAATTGTGACAAACATTTCTAACATTACAATTTTCGTTAGCTTTAAAAAACACACCTTCGACCTTCATTTGTTTCTAAATTGTTTTTCAGAGCAGGCTCTAATACAAATTTACTAAGGTTGCAGTCAGCAATTCGAGCCCGCCAACTCGAACAAGGTATTGTTGGGGTTACAATAGCCCCAGCGTTCTTCTTTGATAATAGACGTTGCCTGCGGAACCCATAGATTTCTTATAATTCAACTCTTACTTTTGATTATTTATCATTGTTGTCTCTTTGAAAGCGCAGGAAGCGTATTGGCTTTTTAAACCATTGATCATTCACAAATCAAAAAGCATGCTAAGTAATGTACTGAGCACACATGTCTACATATTATCGACCAGATAGAATCACAAGGAACAAATAGTACTTAAGTACCCAGGTCTATAAAGGACCCTAAAAATATAAACGCACAGGTCTGGTGCAGACTAGGTAAATGCAAATATTACCACTATATTTAAACAGGTTACCATGCGCTTAGAAGAGGATAGTTTTTACTACATATAGGCGAATTTAATTTCTGTCTTTCATTTCGTATTATGAACCGTAGGTCATGAGGGAACTGCGGCCTACTAGAAAGGTGTAACCACGTCTGTTTTCGTGTGATAATCAATTGTACTTGTCGTTACACCCTTCCTGTAAAACTGCCATTTATCATGTGACACTATCACGGGGCATTTGAAATTTAAAAAAAAATGTGTAATAAAAGTTTTATGCTCGAAAAGAAATTTTCACTAAGGAAGTGAATAAAACGAATTGACAACCGGAAGTAAAGGAAGGCTTACTTGACTTCGTAGTTTCAACCCGTCAATCATTTTGAACTTCTCCACAAGAATAGAACGCGCCACCGTCTTAACAGCATAGCTTTCGTTCATGCTTTCATGAACACATTATATTGCAATCCATTCCGTTCTGATTTGGCCAACACTAACATAGTACACCACCTTCTAATCACATTCCAATAAAAGCTGGAGTAATTTTTGTGTTTCTTTTTTTCGTTGCGTTTGGCAGCTATATGGTTGATGCAGCGGATCGTGACAAAATCGAGCCTGCTCGTAATGAACTACACACTCTCCTTGACAAACCTCAGTTGGCAGAGATACCCGTTTTGGTACTTGGAAACAAGCGAGATTTACCCGACGCTCTGGACGAAAAGGATATCATCGAACAGATGTATGAGAAGAGTTCTTACTTCAGCTAGAAACACTTTTCTTCGTTATTTCTTGGTCTTAAAATTGTTAACATTACTGTCGTGTTTTGCATTGTACATGCAGTGTAAGATGAACTTGTGCTGAGAAAAACCATGTTAAATAGAACTGAGTAACTTAAAATTCTTAATTAAGTACGATCTACCAGTGTGTCAAAACTATGGTGGGTTGGTATATTTGATTTGAGATCCTATTCTAGGTACAGGGATTACGTTAAATGATAGATATCTGAAAACTAAGCTGATGTATCAAATGAACACTTCTAATTATAATATTAACCTTTATTTGGCTTATGATTGTTTCGCAGGAATCTTGGTGCAGTTACAGATCGAGAAATTTGCTGTTATTCTATCTCCTGCAAGGAAAGGGAGAATATTAGTGAGTTTCAGTCTATATCGACCATTAGAATAACCCACATTACCAAAACTGTCGCGTCCATTAGTGCCGATTATTTGTAACAGTGGTGTTTTAGTAGTTTATCACCTAACCATGTTAATAATTTGCCGATGCTAGTAGACAATCAATGTAATGATAACCAAATGTAAATCTGATGTATCTTTTGTCATACTCATTTTGTGATCTGTTGATTTTCAGATATAACCCTACAGTGGCTAATTGCGCACGCAAAGACCCACTAGCACCCAACATAATTGTACCGATTTGTTCGTGTGGAACCCGTTGGCTAGATAAAATCAATCTCAATCAATAGTCGTCAATCTCGAGCTAGTCTCAAGATTGATATATGCCATTGCCACCTTTACTTTGTCCCCGTATCGGGGTGTGACGAACATGGAGTGATGAAACAGAACTGAAACTGAAGTAACTGGCTGTTTCTTTTTGCCTTTAATGTTTATCATCATCACCATCACAACCATAATCATCATCATCAGCATCATCATCATCGTTATCGCTGTCTTACGACGATCGTTACAAAACACCAATAGTTCGAAAAACTCAACCCAACTAGTATTTACTGTCCGACCGCAATATCATTTATTAGAACGCCATCTCCTTCTAGCATGGCTTCGCGTAGAAGCAGTGTCAGCATTACCACCGCAGAAGTGATATCGCGCTGTCATACTCGTTCAAACATAATATACACGCAGATACACCACATTACCTTGTTCATAGACTTAGACATAGACATCCTTGCGACACAGCTCCTATGGTGAAGTACGATCATTCTAGGCTAAACGATGTTGTCCCCCCAGTAGCTTAGTAGGTAACGTATCTGCCTGCATATCTTAGGGATACGTTGAAGTCTAGGTTCGAATCCATACACTTTATTTCAAGATGGGCTCCAGCCGTCTGATCAACTATTTAACGGCGATACGCTAAACATGGAGAAACTAACGCAGATTTTCTTTCAACTTCTTTGGATTTAAAGCACTGCAAAGTATGCTTTTTGTGCTCTTTAGAGAGTTAGGTATTACGTAAAGTTAAGCAGTGATGAGGCAGAGCAACAGATCAATAGGCTTTTTGTCTAGCGTCTCTGTGCTTCATTCCCGAAGATAATCGCCCTTCGTGGCGTTCAAGTGCTACAAATTGCGACAAGCACTGCGACACTAATAATTCATTGACCTGTTTGACTAGAATTTAGTTTTCCTTTAGAGACTTTAAATTAAAGGTTATTATTCGGATGACGATGATAATAATAATGGTACATATCGCACCTGGTTTTTCTAGGAGTGTCCAAAGAAGAGACTAGCCACATATGCGCATTGTTACTATGACTACGGCAGTTACGTAATGGTTGCATTAATGGGTTCAGCTTGAGCTGCTGCTGACGTCGCTCCTTTCCCTTTTACTAGTTTTGTTATTCGCGACAGCGACGTTGTTGTTGTTGATGATGATGATAACCACGACGGCGGTGATGATATGCAAACGAAGCAAACAATCACTCGAAAGTATCAGCCCCTGTGCTTCCAACTAAAAATGACAATAAAGAATAATAGTAATAATAATGTAAAGCTGGCAGTCGGCCGTATCTAAAGTGTAAACGTAAGTAAGGTATGTTTTTTGCGGGAAAGGGGCGTAAGCTGTTCGCAACGATGAAACAAAACCCAGGTTTCTTGAGAGAACAGAAAGCAAGCGAAAAGTCCCCGTTTGGTATTCGCAGTTTCTTTGTGTGCAGTGTATTAATGTTGGTAACTTCTGTGAATGCATGTCGCATATTTTGATGAGTGACTGAAAGAATTCCAAGAAAAATGTGGGAAGAGAAGCTGAAGACGTGAGCAACACGGAAAGAGAACGCGAATGCCAAGCCAGCAAAAGGATTACACATGATAAAGGTTGTAAGAACCCGCTTCGAACGACTGCCCCAACAATGTTTTGCAGAAAAACTGGAATGAATAATGTAGGAATTTAATGTTCTCAATTAAAAAAGTAGGCTACGTGCCAATTTGGCACCCAAAGTTTCCGCTTAATTTTTTTCAATTGGTACAGTCTATGGCTTAAAATAAATAACCTAGCTAACTTAATAGAGATAAGCTAGCTTACGCGGTCACGATTTATATAAGAAACACATGCGTCGCTTACGTTCGACTGATTATAAGGAACAATTGATTAATTCAAGGCGTCAGGGTAGACCATCTGACGCCACTCCCGGAGTCTTTGGTCATAATTTAAAAACAACAAAGTGAACATTTATACCATAAGAACGTCTACGAAAGTAGCCATTATTGTGGCTGATTATAAATTTGGGTGCCAAATATGACCCACTTAGGTCATGACTGTTTTAGTATTTCATGACTGTTTTATGAATGGATTATAATAGTAGACCGGAAGGAACAGACCTGTTTACTAGTTCAGTGCCCATACTTCACTAGAAATAGCCACTGGACTTCAATGAATTCACGTTTTATATATTGTATAGAGTCGGCTACATATGTCAGAGAAAGGGGCTGGTAGTTTGTTTTTTTGGGACTTTTAAGTTCAAAAATCGCGTCTGAGCTTGTTACGGCCATACAGAGAGGGCACCGTGATGTTGAGAAGGCATCGTGATGTTGAAGGTTTCATGTAACACGCGCTAAACCATACTTTGCAACGAGGTTAATTATGTTAAGAAGGTAATGCCTTTTTTGGTACTGTATATTCGCAAAGTTACGTATTAAACAAACGCAAGTCGCTAGAAAAGTTGAAACACATTTTTGCGATTATTTAATTGCTTTAGTTATATAGCTGGCATAAAATTATATAAATTGTGTCTATGAAAGCGGTTTAACTAATACACATAACGATAGAGTTGTAGTATTTACAGGCTGATATTCAATCACTACTTACGGGACAACCGTATAAAGCTTGTTGATGAAGTAGTAGTGAAACTTACGGTAGTGAATGCGTTCCAAGTTAATTTCCAAATACTTGCTGGCAACACGTTGCGATATGCTTGTGGTAGTCATTATATATTGCTTTCATGAAAGAATCTCTCCTTTGATAAAATGCTCGTAGTGGCCCCCGTTGTGGGCCCCGAGGCCGATAAAACCTCTATACAAGACTATACTGTAATGTATTAAATATATATACATATAAATAATAATATTAAAAAACTAGGTTGGAGAAAAAGAGTGCAATATCGTGATCATTAGCATTATAGTTCTTAATGTTAGCGGTCGGAATGGACGTAAGAGTATCAAGGTGAATGTTGAAAAGGGACATGTGTGTGAATTGCTTAAATATATTAATTAATCTCCCTTAAGTGCTCTCTTGTATATACAATTAAAAACCTAGAAACAGAATAGCATAGTCAGCGCCCAAATAAATTGAATAGATTTGACCAAAAGAATCTGAGCTTAACAGTTTGGCGTTGTTATTAGCTTATTTAGAAAAGTCCATGATTATGAATAAGATGTAACGTCTAATCATGGAGTTAGGTTCGACGAAATTGTTTCCTATGAGTGTATTATATATGCACTGACTCGCAGACTTCATCAGCACCAATTTTGCAGTTGACTTACTCGTTGATGACACACCTAGCCTAATGTCTACTACAGCTCGGGTAAACATTAACAATTATCCAGATGCAGTTATTTTATCACAGGTCTTCTTTTCCCATTAAAATGTTTTAAAAATGCTGTACTTTTATAGTTGTTATTAATAATATTTACGAAGTTTGCTTGGTTACATCCAACCTGGCATAAACCGAGCTAGATTTCCTTACATCTTCACAAATTTTCGCTCAGAATTTTCCTTGTTGAATTGTTGCACTGAGCCTGTTACCACATTGCAATTACCTACAACTGCAATAATTGTATTTTCGTTATTTAGTCAATCTATGACTTTTCTCAATGACCCTCTTACTTATACGCAACTATCCTAGGTTATACCCAAACAAATTCATAATATGTTACGGTTACAGTAGGGCGTTAATCTTGTTACTTATCTGGAATCGCTTCCTACCTGGAGGATTGATCAATTTTGACCTAAATATATCCAATGTAAAATTAAGCAGATTTCACTTTATCTGCACGTGTAACGTTGGGTTCCGATATTGCACTCTGCGTCAATCTTCTAAGACCTTACATGACCCAGATTTGATCAATTATCTTTGTCTTCCGTCTAAACGCTTTTGTCAGCCCGGTATGTTACAGCATTTTCTCGCTTTCCCACCGCAATGAATCAGTGTCCCAACATTCACAGCAATGTATTCTAGTTCCGAAAATCTCAATGATTCTTACAACAGACGCCAGCTTTAGCCGCTTAATGGAAGCCATGCAAAAAACCCAACTGCTTTAACTAAAACAGAAACAACGACCCAATATAATTCCTTCAGAAATCTTCAGTCGTTGTCGAACAAATCGCCCAAAAAGTCAGATGAAGCCATTGTTGCTAAGAATCTTTAATAAAATATTCAACCAAAGACGAAAATTTTATGTGCAGCCGCAATAAAAGCCTAATAACCCACAAAAAAATCAGCTCAAAGCAACCACTCCATCTAAATCACTTTAAAAAGTAAAAAATGAAAATACAGGTTCTTCATTTTAGTAGTAGGGATTGGTGGGGCTATGTCTGCGCGTGGCAATATAATCCACTCCGTCTTGTTCTAACAAATAAACGTTGGTTTTACGATGAGACAATAATAAAATAGAACAAATGATAAGTAAACCTAACTGAGTAACTTTTTGATTAGTTAAATAACCGTTATGGGACAAACGCAACCTCACAGCTCTTAAATAAAACTATTCGCTTTGAGTTTTGTATATTAGACTGCCTGGAGCAATGTTGCGGGCTTCCAAACTGTTCCTCCAAACTTTAAAACTATTGAAGTGAAGGAGTAAGACTGAATAGTTTTCATATTATGGTATTTTCGTATTAGGGCCAGCACTCTTTTCCAGTTTCTTAATGGTCTTGTTCATTATTTTACATTACCATAGCTAATTTTATTTCTTGAAGGACACTACGATATTACGGGCTTCAATTCGGAAGTTCTATTCATTCCTAAAATCATATCGAAATAAAAACATGTATTTCAACTTAATCTTTTACAATTGCTAAAAGCGTCATTTTTAACGGTTAGGCATGCTTAAGGATTCCTTAACAATCACCAGCTACTTCGATTATAGCTTCAATTCAAGCCTAATTCGCTCGTTGATTTATGTTGAAATATCTTAAAAGGCTTGTTCCAATCTTATTTGTAAATGGGTATTTCGCTACATTACTCCACCCGACGAACAGGTGTACCATTTGGTAGGAAGACGTTTGGCCTTCTTTTAGACACTCCATATGCCCACGGTCGCATAACAACTTACAGGAATCGTATAGATACTACTATGCTTCATGCTAATGGATTCATTGCTCCCGTAGAAGTACTGTCGCATGACGTCTTTTTTACTGGACATAACACCCAGAGCGTAATCATTAATTAAGGTTGGGTTTTATACTCAATAGACACATCGTCGAACTCGCAGCTAAGCTAGCAATCACAACTGAGATTATTTTTTACAGCGAAGCTAAACATTCTCTCCACAGAGAAATATTAAACTCTTCCTTTTTGAGAGAACTGAGGAGCACACGAGAATCTATTACGACTGTACTGCCAAATTGCACTCTTTAGATGCATGTAAATCACATTATTATCAGCTGTCAATAATTCTTTATGCCGCGATCGATATTACTTTATATGAAGGCAAGGATAACTGTCGCAGTGACATAGGCTTCGATACCTTCAATTTGGCATTGCATAGCTGCATTGGTACATACATCAAATTTTTCAGGCAAAACGCAATCCGTACAACAACCGATATTTAGGCGATTTAAATGCCGGCTTTATCCTACCCAGCGGAAGTTCATATGGACTTACATTAGAAGAATCATAACATTTGACTTAGCTATCTTGACGTGATCGCCTCCTCTAGCCAATATCACAGTTATTTATTGAAAAATAAAATTTACTTTTAGCTTTGTTGAACGATTGGCTTTTTCGCCAAGATTATATGGTGTCTTTAATTTTATAGTAATAAATTGTTACAGAGCCCTTTTAAGTCACTGAAGCCTGTGGCAACCACAGTTTAATATAATTAATTTTTCTTTTATGGTAAGGACTGCTTTCAACAACATTAAATTAACTTATGGATAAAGCATATACACCAAGTACATCAGGTTAAATAATGTATAAGCAAACATGCTTATATATCATTTAAAACTATTTTATCATTTAAATAATTTTATCAGTTTTTGTCCAAAACAACGCATCAGTATTTTACAAAATTTTTAGATACACTTGATCACGGTTGGAAGTGATGCCCCGATATCGACGTACCGAAATACGTTAAATTCGTAGCCCACTACGCCTCATATGATCAATTCACAACTATAACGTTAAGTTTCCCGTAAGTCCTTGTCCACTTGTGTTTTTGTCTTGTAAGCTTGTTAAATTGGAAGAAAATTAGTTTTTCCACTGAATAGTTGTTGCAAGCCGGTTCTATATATCTTAAAACGTGTAATATTCCATTCTGCACAGTGCCTATGCGCCTTTAAAATACCTCAGTCATCCTTTTCTATAATAGCTTTCGCTCTCTCAAAGCAACTAAAGAAACATAGCCACATTTACTAATTCATGGTGATTAAAACGCTATACTCACCTCAAAAAACAGCTGGTAAAACCCTAATATATCAGTATTATTAAATGTGCAGATTTCTAAAATTGTATCAGCTTTCAAGTTTTATGTTTTTTTTTTTAATTATTTGCACTGTTACTTGAATCTTTCTTGAACTCTTTGAAAGCTGCTTAGCCACTCGTAATCTTGCAGACCATAGATTGCGGGCAACTAAAAATATTTCTTCAATGCTTGACTTAAAGGTCATGCTTTATTTACCCTGTATACATGGTGCAGTTATATGAAACACGCGCTGTAGACAGGTGTAAATCAAACATTTAATATCATGCCTCTTTGCAGTTACATATATATATTTTTTTATAAGTGTCCGACATATAAATTAAAATAACAGCGGCACTTCATAAAAGTTATTCTACAATAACCAACCGAATAAGAATAATGGTATTTTCCGCAACACTGAGAACTGCCCTTCCCACTTGCGAGAAGAATCATTGACTAAGTCGATAAGTTTAGGTTGAGAACTTTTGGAAGAGTCTCACCTGCGGGTCCTTGAAATACAAATCTGTAAGAAGCGTAAGATAAAAAGCTTATAGTGTTTTTTGAATGCAACTTTTAATTAAACATGATCCTCCGCAGACAGATAAGCCGCAAAGGTTTTGTTAAGTTGGTGTTTACTGTAAATTGTCTAAACCTTTACAAATGTTGAAGCCTATGTAAATATTATGTGTATTTCTATATTCATTAGTGATAGAATGTTTGTATTGTTCTAAAGTATATAGACGTCGGGGCTGGGAACACCAAATCTAATTATAAGTTTATTGACTCCCAGCACAGACCGTACCATGAAGACTAGAGAAAAGGCAATCTCTTACACAGGAAAAGTGATATAAGATAGTGATACGACTTCGTCGTTCATCGTTGCTAGTACAGTGGACATTTACTTTAGCATAATTCCAAAAGAGAAAACAAATGTTGCTTTATCTAACTTGCCTGCTTTAAAACAGCGCACTCGGATTTTCTGGATAACGATAATTATCTTATTTAAAAAATTTCATTTACATTCTTTCATGTGTTATCGTATAAAAATTATGTGCTCATGGTATGACTTACTGAAAATTTCCTGTCTCTGGAGTCGTTTGAATGTTAAACTCTGCAACGGGAACTAGCCTTCTGGCTAACTCTGGAGCAAACATTGCTGCTGGATAAACTACCGAAGAGGTGCCGACCTTCAAGCAAAAATTGCAAAATTACATATTAGTATAAGATAAACTGTTTCCGCCTATAAACGAATCGTTTTTAGAACTGACGTTTGCAAAAAACGGTCTAATCGAAGATTTGGTCCAGCCTACCATTGCAACTTACTGGAGCTATTGTAGGCTGAATTCAGCGCAATAAATATTACATTGTTAATCGCGTACCATACTGTCTACATGCACTTCATATTTCTAATTAAATCAGTTATTTGGAGCATGGTTGTGCACCCTTAGCTGGCACCATTTTGGAAATGTGCATTGCATCCAAATCACGGTTAGCAATCGAATCACACTCTCCATTTTCTTATGCACTTATGTTCCGCGTTTATTAACAGCGTGGATTTCACAGCAATAAACTAAAGGAACTAAATTCATATAAAAATTATTTTCACGGTTTTCGTCTTCGGAATCATTTAGTTGCCAAGATTTGTTGATATTTAATGAAGTTTTAGCATACACCTGTTTTCTAGAAAAATATACGACCTTACTATCAACGATTTAGATAAGGGCGTTTTGGTGACGAATTAATCAGAATCTTAGCGGAGATTAAATACTTATCCAATTTCTTTGCACTGGACGGAGCACTAAGGAAACTATACCCCTCTTCGATTGCTTTGAATCCACTGTGTACAACGCCGTGAGTGTAATAAGAAAAACAGACGCAGGTTCCAGCAGTGGTCCACAGAAAACTTACGACAGGTAATAAAATAATGTGGATTCTACGGGAATCGATGCTACACCAATTTGCATTCCTGATCGTTCTTTTATCACGATCAAGTCGTTAGTGAAGGAATTTCATGTGAGCACGGCCTTTTCGTTGAATTGTTCGCGAAGATTTCAGGCACACGCCGCATATCCTAGCTATGCAGATGGTGTATGAGGCCAAGTAAAATATTGAGGCTAACTCGATATTGCTTGTTCCTCCATTCTCTCAAAAGATACGCGGTATAGCTTGTGGTTAAAACCGATTTTCTAGCCAAGGGTCTTACCCTGAGTGTGCTGTCCAATGAAAATATCGCAGTACATTCTCTAGAAAGGAGATATCATCAACAAGGAAAATTATCTACATGTTCTATAAGTGACATGGCTGCCGCTTAAACCAGATTTGAACCTGTTTTACTCCTATGTACGGAGCATGACTGAATGAGAATCCAACGAGTATTGACATAAAAATATTCGGCTGCTCACCATCCCTAATCGTAAGTCTGCGATGGAAGGGAAGCAGTTACGTTAATTGAGGCAGTTGCGGTATATAAGTATATTGTATTGATCTACAGAGTGCTTCAAAAAATGAGTCCAATGTGTAATAACTTTCTAACTGTTCTTTGTTCCCAAGATATGATTAATTAGAAACAATCATAGAGCCAAGATCAATTTTTAAATAACAAAAATTAAACTACTGTAAAATGAAGTGTAAGGAAACAAAGAAAATATTGAAAGGAGCTTGCACATTCACATACACGACTTACAATTAATCGGATAGAATATAAATTTGAGACTAATTCATAAACGTTCCGAAGACCAAGGACATCTACAGGCTCTACTCGGAAGAACAAGTACTAAAAAGTTAAAGCAAAACAAAAATCTATAAGACAGGTCGTAAACTTGGCATCAACAAATAAAGTGTCCATCGCAATTTAAAACATTGTAAATAGAGAACTTAGGTTTCTACAGGAACACATGCTATCACTGAAGATGATCCGGGCCGAAGAAAACAATTTTACAATAATAATTAAAAAAATGTGAACAAAATGCATAATTTTAAGCAAATATTGTATAAAGCTACATTTATATTGGATAACATAATAAACAGACATGATTGCATCTACTGGGCAGCAGTAAATCTGTGTGTTACGCAGAATTACCATGCAAAATTTACAAAAAGTTAGTATGGTGAGGCATTTCCACCAAAAAAATAATTGAACCATTCTTTTTTGAGAGTATAGTAAGTACTGCAAATTATTTCAATTTACTGCAAGAATCTATTATTCTACGCATTTGAGAAGACTTTATAAAAGTTTTCTCAAATAAGATCACGAATTATGTTTTACACAAGATTAAACACGCTTTTACATCTCCCAACGAGAATCTCCCAAACAAAGGCTTTAATGAAGAGATCCCGTCGAATACACTGCTCGTTCTTTAATCCCAACATAAATAAGACCTTTTTTTTATGGATATACCTCAAAAATAAAGTATATACCAAAAAATCGACGACACTACGCAATTTAAAAGCCATAATTGAGTAAGAATTGAAAAGAACACCAAATCAAATGTTCGTTGAAGTTCGACTAGAACGGCAATAACTTTCAGCGTCAGCAGCAAGAGGGGAAGTTATACATTTTATATAGATTATTTTGCGATTTAAGTATTAATTATATGTGAGTTAAAACTGAAATTATAATCATTCAGTATCAATTTTTGGGCCAGACAAACAACCATAGATGAATAGCGGATCCGGGATGGAGAGTGTAACAAGAAAGAGTTCGTATAATTATGAAGTAAAACCTTGAAGCATCTACTCTGAACAAATACGACCGTTAGAATTGACAGTTTTAATGGATGCAAAAAATGTCGTTCACCCAACTATTTTTGTTTAAACACAGTCTTTGATATAAATAGTGAGCAAAACTCCAAATTGTGGTCGAGCACCTTGTAGTATCTTTAAAAAAATATAATTAGCGATTAAGGTAATTCTAAATCACCTTGAACACTCTTCAATTTCACTAGAAGAAAGTTAGGTTGTTCTTTTTCAAGCTTTAGTTGGGAGCTGTAAGGTCGTGCTTTTAAAATGAAAGCACTCGAGTATACTCAATCCAGTTCAAAGAACTAGCGATATCATATTAATTCAAATCTCTGCGTTAGCTAACACGATCAGCAACAACTAGCATATGACTATATTTGACCTGCATATTAATGATAATTCTCACCAATTCCATGCAAATATTAGATCAAAGTTAGTTTTGCGTTCTATCCGTACGCTATAGCGCTATTATTATTCAACATGTTTATCGGCAGAGATCTAGATTTTGATAGACTTACGACGAGGCAGCAATCGCAATTATCCAGCGCCTTTCGGGCTTTTTCTATGACTTCCGGTTCAAGACTTTCCCCAAACCAAACTATATGGGGTCGAAGAAGACCGCCACAACCTGGCCTACCACAATGGGGAAGTTCGTCTAAACTAGTCGTTTCTTTTGCCAAGCCCGCACAAACAGGACTGTTATGATTGTCAGAGATCACGTTGCACTCTGTACATCGCACCTGTAATAAATATTATTACCATAGCTTATAAAACAAGCGCAATTAATATTACTTGTTTTCACCTTATACGTTTCGCCAGGTTTTACGTATTCTAAATTGGCTGCTATTCCAATAAGTTGGTTCAAACTCCAGTTGCAACGCAAAATGAAAGTAACCTTTTTACAGGCTTCTTCAAAAGTTAAGTACCTGTTTTCTTTATCGCACGTTTGGTGCCTCAGATAGCGCAATTCTACTGATGTAATGCATAGTTTATAGGATAACTTCAAACTTAGAAATCCATTTTGTAACTCATTTTTGGAGAAAGTTAAGTTTCCGTTACTGTTTTTCTACTGTACTACTAAAGCCTAACATATATACAGGTCATCCTAATAAAAACATACGTTTTTGATTTATCGACTGATTATAGGCGCGTAAATTTATATTCTCGGTTACGGACCTTGTACAAAGAACCATGTAATTCGATTACATTTTCCGATCCGGCACGCTGGTGCAGACCGTCCACATTTTGTGTTATAAGCGTAAATTGTTTTCCTGATGATTTACATTCTTTTTCAAAACGTGCTAAGGCTTCATGAGCAGGATTCGGACTCTGAAACAATGCAAGTAACATGTATCGATTAAAACATCAAATTTTTCAACATTTAGTGGATTTATGGAACAGTAGGTATGTAAAAAATAATCCTTTGTTCCAAGATAAACAAATCCTTTATTCCAGATTTATTTAATCCTCCTAGTTCAAGCTGTCCTTTTCAAAGTAATCTTTGCCTTTATCTCCCCTTAAGACTTTTTTCTACTTCTAGAAATGGAAAAAAATTGCAGTGAACAAGGTCCGGTAAATACGGGGATTGGAGGAACACACATATCAGGTCTTTTTATTAAAACTGCTGCAAAAGTAGTGATATGTTGACCGGTGCACTATCGTGATAAAGGATCCGGAACTCGATGCGCTACAATTCTAGTCTCTTGCGTAGGACATACTCTTAGAAGAAAAGTTTTAAAAACTTCCTTTCTTTAAAAATCTTGTTGACCGTGAAATAAGATAGCATGAACTCGTGATAAACGATTCTCCCGCAGTAGAAGAAAGCCATAAAGGACGCCATTGTTCAAAACCTTGATCTTGCGACTTTCTTCGGTCGGGGTTTGTGTACTTTTGAGATCTTTTCTGCTAACTCGCTTATGGTGATTTGGCGGTTGGCAGATATAAGTTGTTTCACTCTTACCACGTTCTCGTCCGTTGTCACGGGCTTTCTGGGACGAAGATCGTCTTTGATAAAATCCTGTCCGTCTTTGAAACGCTATTTGCACTACCTAATTATTTGACCTTTACTTAGTATCTAACTTCCAGCGATCAAGCATTTCAGTATCTGGGTGTTCCGCAGCATCCGAAAAGTCGCGGCTGATTTTATTTCTGACACAAAATCTAATGCATATATGCATAAAATCGTAGGCTGCTCTCTACATAGACTCAATATCATTAGAAAATTTAAATTTACACAAGACTGCTATCATTTTTACTGTATGGAGAAGCCCTGCTTTTTTTTTACCAGAACAAACATGGATCACAAAACGATCATCTAGTAACACGAAAATTCAAACGACTCATTCATTACTGGATAAGGGGTTATATTTGCAGTCAACCTGTAAGGCAGATTTAGTCATTGAAGACCCTGGCGAATTTCCAAAATTTTCACTCGCATTACGCTGATGGGAAAAAACTATCCTCAGTTAATAATGTCAAGACCGGTGTCAAAAATCTTGCGATCCTTGATCCTTTTCGATTAACTAAATGCAAATACTACATTAAAGTGCAAATTAGCCTCCTAGGTCCCTAAGTTCAACATATGTACATCCGGTTATGTGTAAGTAGATAAAATGCACTGCATCTAACCTTACTAAACACTAGCTCTCTTCGGTAATGGTAGAACTGCCAAACAAGCACTGGATCTTTACGGAACGCTTGAGGAGTTGCTAAATCCGTCGCTTGGTATGTACGCCACAACCCTCCAGACCCTCGAAAAGTAGGTACTCCACTCTCTGCCGACACTCCAGCACCTGTCAAGGCAATAATTGCTCGTGCCTTCTTCAGAATATTGCGAAACACCTCTACGCCCTTCATTAAGCTGTAAATAACAATAAAAGTTAACTCAGTTTTTTTTAATTTTCATCAAACACTCAAGTTCGGGTAATTAATAAACTTATAGTTACATTAGTACTTGCATTTCGAATGGCCGTTGCTATTTGGCCGATGTGATTATGATAAAGTTATTGCTGTGTACTTACGAATCGCATTCTAGAAATGTTTGGATTCTAAGCCTACCCGCAAGAGATCTACAGACTCAGCGCCATTTTTGAAATCATAAAAATATTACTGCCACAGATACGCTATCGTCATTTAAAACGGGATTATTTATAAACATTTTAACATAGCCTTTAATCATCTTCCTGGGGTCATATTTCACTCTCTAAGTTAGCCGTGGGTTAGAGAGAGATCGGGTTATCTTGAACGTTTTCATATGTACTCACTTATCCTCTATAAGTAACGCGGATAACCAGATTTACCTAACCGCTTTTACTAGTTTTCACTTGCACGTACTGACTACCAGCTTGCACTAACTTGTTCTTTACTGGAATTAGTTCCATGGAACAGAAAATTTCCATTCTCCCATCATTTCAGAAGCGTCTTATTTTGATTGTGGCAATAGGTTGTCTTATCGGATCTCGTGAACTACACAACGTAACAGTAATCAGAGGTATCCGGTGCTTTTGAGTCCTCTCACACGTGTTGTATGCACAATTACTCAATAATTTTGGCCTTCGCTCGCTCACACAGAAACTTATCGCACGGCCGATTCAATAAAAAGAATCTGCGGATCTTCTTACGCGGCTTGCAAATATCTACAGATCGAACCTATACATATAAACTTGTAGTTGCCTTTAAGTCCTTAAGATCTTTTGTTTGTATTTTGAATCACGAACAGGTTTTCTCTAAATACTAACGTGTTTCTTCATTATTATAATTGCATTTCTTTTATAGTTGTAGGCTTATGTGACTGTTTTACTTCATATATGTATATGAATAAAGGTACTATACACAAATTGGAGCAAAAATTGCCGGGCCGTCTGTCGGTACGGGCACGCATTCATTTACCATTTCTGGTACTAAAAAAAACCTGATCATTATAGAACATACCTCAACGTGATACAATACATTATTTCCGCAATATCAGAGAAAATGAGGTACTATTCAATCTCCCTGCGCTATACAAGTTCTCAACAAGATTATAAACTTTTTGGCCTGAAATAGACGATCTAAGTTATCGCCAATTTTTGTGCAGCTTCTAAAAAGACCCGAGTTAGATGCGGATTAAAGTTATATTTTGAAAACAACTGTGCTTTAAATTCTGAATTAAAGCCGTAATTGTAATGAGTGTAGAGACATCAAATAAACATGACCATCAGGAATGGCACCTGCGGCACATTAAAGATATTTTGTTAAAAACAAAGTATAAGAAAAATATGTCTAGGTATTGTACTCTGTATATATATATATCGCAACTGCGTCAAGTCTTCATCTTACTCTCATTCAAACGAAAATCCGCTCTTTTTATTCTCCTGACATCGGCCGTCTTAACAACTTGTAATTCCGTGGTGGATACCATCAGGAGCTTCGCCTCCGACATGAGTCCTTTGTTCCGTGCCATCCGAAGACACTGCGTCTCGTTACTACTAGCGTTGGGATCCTTAGCTTAGTAGCACCCGGCAATCTTGAGCAGAAACAGAAGCTTGACCTGCTATGCACGCTGGCTGACTCTGGCAACGGTTTGGCTTATCCACATGTCGGTACATTCGGCAGTCGCGTGCAAGCTTTGCAAGTGCCATGAAGTCAAGCGGCGATGCTACAGTCAGGTTTTTATGAAATTTTCACACAAGCATGATTTCTTGATGTCTGCTAGAAACGTCTTAAACCCCGATGACATACTGACACGGTCCGGCAGTACACGCTCGAAATTGATGAAACGGTTTTCCTCGCTACCTCAAACCGGTGCACAATATTCTCCTGCGTGATGTGGAAACCGCTCGAATAGACGAGTGTTGAACTCATCCCGCGTCACCTTCCTGTTTAGTACTGAGCTAGACCCGGCAAAAATCTAAGCAATCTAGAATAGACGCTAATGGGAGCTACCGTAAATACCTACTGTTTTCTCTACGATCCTGATCCATTGCCTAGGCCTGGAGTAGTCGAGAAATAGTGGCTTTGACGGCAACGCGTCTCTCTTTACATTCTCCGTCAAACGTTCCTACACATACAGTAGCTTGCAGCTTGGTCGATCATTTCGTCCAACCTCGACCTTACTTTTGCTGCCACCAATTGTACCAACGACGTAATAGTGCCGGCACAAATATAATTTATTAACTCTACACCCTTGTCTCAATATAGCAATCACGACAAAAATACCTAATATATATAGTGGTTCTCCTACAGCTCTCCTGAATTCACTTCGGGGTTCCTAGGGCATACCGTCGCTGTTCTTCCATTATTCTAGTAGCACTAACATCGCTCACTTGTTGATTTGTAATGGAACTGAGTTACGCGGTATCAATGTTGTACAATTTTTGCTCTCTTGTGGTCTTGCTGCGAGATTTTTTATCACTTTTAAACTGGGTGCTATTCTAGAGACGCTACATATTTATAAAATGTTCATAAGATCATCCTTAACGCTCTCTTCTTTATAAATGCTGCATACGATACACTCTAGGATAATACTAACAACTTCCTCGACTTACTGCATAAGCTGGAATTTTGTATTAGCTTGTACTGTTTGAAAAACATCAACGGCCTTATTCTGCTTGCTCCTGCAAAACGCATGTTTTTTACAATACATCGTCTATACTGTAAACGGCATCTGCTGAAAACCACTTAAATATGGTTCAGCATTAGTTCTTGCACACCTTTGTAGGGTTTGGCTGGCACTTAGCGCAGTAGCCGTTACATGCGAATTAAACTTTTGACATATCTTCAGGCCCCTTTAACTATACTTTGGAAATACCCCACAAAAATTGTGTGTCTGCAACTTGATTACAACTCATTGAAATCAACGTTACACCCTCTAAAAGTGGGCCTACAGTTATTATTATTATTATGTGTATCTTATTTGTAAGACCAAAGAAACTTGCAAACATGTCAAACTGCATCACACAGTTTCGATAAGGTTTGACAGCCAAAGAAGAATAGATTTTACGACTTGAAAAGTTCTACCTCAATTTGAAGTATTTTTGTAACAAAATCCCTCTAGTCCACTTGCTCATAACATGTTTCTATAAAAAATGTTAAAAATAGAAAGTCTTGTATGCGCCATACTCGAAGTTTTTATTCAGTATGTAGTCAGATATGACATGCATTTGATTCGCGGTTACCTACGACTTTGTTCAGTGGCTGGATATGCGTAGAATAGAGGTTTAGTACAGTAAATAATGCCTTATAACGTACAATCTAGAATCCCGTTAATTTGCAATCTATGCCTTACTCTGGACTTTAAACAGAGCTGAACGGTGGATAGTATATGACATGCGTTAAAATGGTAAGGTCCCCTGATCAAGCCTACTATACATTGTAGAAAATCACGTTGGTTAAGGGAGTCACTCACTCGGGATCGATGAAGCTCGATGTGTTGGTTGACATAATAGAGTAGAATCAGCTGTAGTGAAACTCCCCGGACGAACGAACACAAACTTCTTGCGCTAGAAGATATGAAAAAAAACACAATTTCAACAACGTTGACACATGTAAGGATTTGCCACAGTTTTAAACAAAAAATAAAGTTTATTATCTGGAAATGGCTAGCTAAGTTAAGAATAGATCTTCAGTTGTTTGTTATAACCTAGATAAACATAGAACGTATTTGAATGCAGCGCTGTTCGGGCAGTGGTAAATTCTGACCCACCATCAAGAAACCTGGTCTGTGAATACGGCCACCAGAGCGTGTATCTTGCATTCCGATGTTTTGGCATGGTGGTAGGTTAGATTAAGAAGTCGATGAGCGGTCGGAAGTTAAGAATTTCGCTTGATATTTGAGGTAATCTGGTCGTTTTGGTGTCGCCTTTCGACGGCCGTTTACAATAAGCACGAACATGGCATACCGAGGCAAAAAACAGAGTCCAGATGAAGCTATGGCCAACCTCGAGTTTGAAACTAGCGACGGTGTTGAGGTACGTAACGAAGCTTTTGTACGTACATCTTTGGCGAAGCGGAAGCAGTATAATCGACAAATTCATAACGATACCTTTTACATGTGTAGAGCTATTAACATGTTACCTGAGATTTAAAAATCCGAACACATGTATTTTTGCCTTCTAGCAGTTGCTTGGTATGTAGATGTACCAAGCGAATTTTCAAATGAGCGATTTTATGTAAGCAATTAAAGGTACATTCTGCGTCATATGTTTCGATATCAGTGTGCTACAGGCTGTCACTTTTTTTAGCATATACTAGAAAATCTTCTTGACGTTATATTTTGTCATGACAATCTATGCTGGTGTTTTCTTTACTCAGACATGCTAATTTATTGAGGGAATTCAGCAAATGTCCATTAGTACCTTAATACTTAATCTATTTTAACTTTGTATGAGGTGTATTATACAAATCAGTTAACAATATTAAAGCTGCTTCTTTGAGAAGCTCTGGTTAATGTTTATAGCTGCCGAGGTGATCCGAGGGGCTGACCATGGACAGTCCTAATAATGATGCTTGAATGACGCCAAAAATACGAAAATAGAGGTAACCATAGCACTGTGTTTTCAAACAACAGTATATTTGAGCTTTTTAACTGAATGACTTCGCAAAGCCTCAGTTTATTCCAAGGATGTAAATAGATAAAAGATGCGTTTTTCACGTTTCATGTGTAGCTAGCTCAACCAGCAAATATCCATTACTGATATGTTTCTGATATATTAAATGTGTTAATCCTGTTGCCGCGCACGTTCCATTATTGATGTTGTAGGTGATTAATTCTTTCGACGCAATGGGGCTTCGTGAGGACCTCTTGCGTGGCATTTATGCCTATGGATTTGAGAAACCTTCAGCTATTCAACAACGTTCAATTGCACCAATCGTAAGTAAACGCGATGTCATTGCTCAGTCACAATCCGGAACCGGAAAAACTGCCACATTCTCGATCGGTGTTCTTCAGTCACTTGATACGCAAGTTCGTGAGACACAGGTTAGTTACCTGCATTTCGTTGTAACACAAAGCTGGAGAAAAAAACAAGCTTGTTTTAAGTAACATTGTCTAATTACTAAATAAAAAATGTAGTTGTACGTCTTTGAGTTTTCAGAATAATTGTGTCAAATGATTCACTTCTGTCTAAAGATGCCAACAATATTCAGTGTAGGTTAAACCCGCGTATGTTTACCGCCTTTTATGTTTTACATCTATAACTCATATGGTCGTCTCGTCTTAGCCATTAAGTCATTGCATTATAATGAGATAAAAGTGCGGTAGTGTTGTCGAAACTATCACGCTTTAAATTACTGTAAAAAAAAACAGTTTGGTAAAAGATATTTTTCCTAAACATCTATTTAGGTTTTGATACTTTCACCGACACGTGAATTGGCCCTTCAAATCCAGAAGGTCATATTAGCGTTAGGTGATTACATGTCTGTACAATGCCATGCGTGTATTGGAGGAACGAATCTTGGCGAGGACATCCGCAAATTAGATTATGGCCAGCATGTTGTTAGTGGAACGCCTGGCAGAGTTTATGATATGATTAAGAGACGTAATCTGCGCACCAGAGGGATTAAAATGCTGGTATTAGACGAAGCCGATGAAATGCTCAACAAGGGTTTCAAAGAACAAATCTACGACGTCTACCGTTATCTACCCCCCGGCACACAAGTAGTTCTTATCTCTGCTACGCTTCCTCATGAAATTCTCGAGATTACCAACAAATTTATGACTGGTGAGTATAATAAATTTCAGTTCTCTCAGATCATTATTTACTGCAAATAATAAGTGGCTCAATAGCAAAGGCAGAAAGTCTAGGGGTTGTTTATACAAGTTATCGGTTGGTTATACAAGACGACAAGAAAGTTGCGTTGATTAAGATAACGTGAGCTAGAGAAGCTTATCTGAAGATAAAGGGTCGCTTATGTCTTTTGATCCTGGCATAAGAATGTTCATCGACATATCATATAGTATTAAATACAAGTGCGATTTGATGAAACGTAAAATTAAAGTGTTTCCAAAGTAATTTTCACAGATTATTTGCTGCATTACAGGCATATCTCCTATTTAACTGAATGTATAGCAACTTTTCGTGGTCACAACGAGCATGAACTATTGTGTGTCCTTCTTTTTGCAGATCCCGTGCGCATTCTCGTGAAACGTGATGAATTGACACTCGAAGGCATCAAACAGTTCTTCGTAGCGGTAGAACGTGAGGAGTGGAAATTTGATACACTTTGCGACCTTTATGATACATTAACGATTACACAAGCCGTTATTTTCTGTAATACGAAACGCAAAGTAGATTGGCTCTCTCAGAAGATGCTAGAGGCAAACTTTACAGTGAGCTCGATGCATGGTGACATGCCGCAAAAGGAACGTGACGCTATCATGAAAGAGTTTCGCGCAGGAAGCACTCGAGTCCTCATCACGACGGACATTTGGGCCAGAGGAATCGACGTACAACAGGTCTCCCTTGTCATTAATTATGATCTACCGAACAATCGAGAACTGTATATTCACCGCATTGGACGTTCAGGCCGTTTTGGCCGTAAAGGTGTAGCTATTAATTTCGTTAAAAGTGACGATATTCGAATCTTACGTGACATCGAGCAGTATTATGCTACGCAGATTGACGAAATGCCCATGAACGTCGCCGACCTCATCTAAACACCAAATAGTAACACTTAATCTCAGAGAGAAAGTTTACTCAAATCTCAAAAGATGCATACTGCCGTATGGCAGCGTAAAGTTTAATTTTATATGGTGTATGTGTTGATAAAAAAAAGCAAGCTCGTTACTTTGATTGGCCTAAGCTGGCCCATTATTATTTTGTATAATGTTGTGAAAACTACAAATTATCATACTACATGTAAACCATTTTTAAGTTAGCGAGAAATCAAAGAAGCATGGACTCGCGCGATTTTTTTGTGTGTAAGTGGAATATACTTCAATTTATAATGCACCGTAATTGGGTGAAAGAAAAACCTAGTGGGTAGCTGCCGCCTGACAAGAACAACGATACTTATATTGTATATTGCGCTATGAGTGACAACACAAATTATGTAATAAGTACACTCGGCTATTGTAATAAATACTATTCACGAAACAAATACAAGCGCTTTTTTCTCCCTAAATGAATTTAATCGACTCTTCAGTGTGTATACTTCCATGATAATAAAAGTGTAGATTGTTGGAATTAAGCGTGGAAGTTTAGCACGGAATGATGAATGGCGGAAGGTAGAAGAAATGCCTAGTTTGTTTTTTAACGAAGTTTTTGCAAAACGTAATTTTTGAAAATGAAGATTCCATTGTAACTCCCTGAAAGCATATTTTGGTTTACGCTGTATGGTAGTCAACACAATTAACTCTGTTCATATTATGCACAAATGTTTCCCATGTGGCCCTAGTACTCGAAAGCCTCGAAACTCGAAGACTACGTTTTGCTTGCCTGAATATAATCACATATTCGAATAACAGCCTTACACTTATTTTTTGGCGCTTGCTAAATATAAAAAAATGTAGTGCAATTGCGGTTGTGCATTTTTAACTTAGTTCATAGCATTGGCCATGTATGCAAATAAAAATATTAGATATGAGTTAATAGGCTCAATAAACCGCACTTGGGCTTTTGGCCTACAGAACTCTATTTGATTGTTTCACTTAAGTCAAATATATGTAATACTGTAAATAAAAATAGCGCATACGCTCGCTGAGAAGTTAAATCTCTAGAAAAGGTCATTCAGTAAGTGTCAGCTAAAACAAATATAATGTTCGGCTGCGGTTGCTGCAACGTATCGCCAACAACTTGCTTCCGTTTTTGAGGGTAAAACTTCAACGAGCTGTATTATGTGCACAGAAATGAATGTAATAAAGCAGAATAGAAAACCCATAGGACGGTCAGAAAAGCTTATTCTTGCCGTTTTAGGCCAATGTTGAGTATTGTGTGAATATTAATCTTATGATGTAGTTACAGCTACAGTCTATCTTTCCAATAAAGGCAATTGTCTTAGCACTAAAATTTTAATTTTGCGGGACATACAAATGCGGCCCACAAAGGGACTGCCTTCTAAATTCTAGAAAATGATTAAAAACGAATCCAATCAATTTAATCGAAACACTGAAATGCATCGACTACATTTATCTTATTCACTTCAATTATAATACTTACTATTTTACTATTTCAGCTCTTTGTTTCTACGATTAAAAAGAAAAACCGCTATCGGTGGATCACTTCCACGTATTCTATTTTTTTTTTTTAATTCAAAAACAACATCCTGAAGACCCTGTCTAAAAGACGTTATAAAAGATATTAAAAAAAAAATGTTGAAATAACAAGGCGAATACCATAAATCAATTCTGTGACAGACGGGAGTTTCAATACGGACATCCGCGTGAGAAAGATCTAAGAATGTTTTCGTGATAGAAAGATTCTGTACAGAAAAAGCTTTGACGCAGAATTCTGGACGTACAGTCGTTCTAAAGTGGGTAACTTCAGGAACATGCAATGCAGATTATATTAGCCGCAATGCTACGATGTTGCAATGTAATTACGGACTTGTGCGAAAAAAACGGCCGTAACCCGAAGCTTCAAACACGAAGGTAACCCGAAGGTTATAAAAGTGATGTCTGTTGAGAATAGGAAAGAGGAACGTTTTCTATGAAGCAGAAACATTAACAAGATAATAAGGCCAAAGGGACGCACAAGAAGATTGCTCTGCTACGAAACCAAGTTTACGCGTCTTGCAACACTCGCGGTGTACCCCAAAGTAAAACGCAATAGCTATTATTGCAAGACATTCCAGGTTAAGAGTCAACTAAGGGCCGCACTGTTTTAAGATCCGTAAATAAGGATGTTGAAAAAGATTCATTTATTTGACAGTGTTACAAGCTGAGGAAGTGGCTACCAGAAGAAATGGAAGTCTCCAAAAATGACTAGAGCAGCTCCGCATCCGCCCTATGGAGACATTGCCACTAGACTCCGTGACAACTGGCTGTCGTTTCGTAGGTCAAGATTTGGCTATCGTATTACAACAAAATCAGCGCTTTTTCCTTCTAGCTCATCAAGCAGATTATGCAAAGCCCTTTACCGGTTACTAAGTGAAGAACTGATCATATTCGCTGAGTTTGAGGTGCTTCGAATTCCGTTTTACTCCATTGAAGGGAGCTACTGCTACATTTTCGCTGTCGTTTTTTCCTTTGCTTTTGTACCGCTTTCAAAACCATCGCGGTCTGTCGTCGGTTCTGTTTCGGCAGGCCGAGCCGATGGCTCTCTTGTAGACGGTTCAGGTGGCGAAGCAAGAGAAAGAAACTGCTTTCGACTGCCTGGTTTCTATGTTACATCTGTTTGTATTTTCAGTAATATATCTGGAGTTCGCAGGATAGTCCGTCCCCCCACAATTATGTCAAAAAGGCTGGTCTCTTTCCTATTCCTGACAACGTGCACTGAAGTTCCTTATCAATAACACCGTTTCATCGTGACCACCTGGTCAGTGCATTCAGACGATCTGTGGCGAACCTTCTGAAATAACGAGCAGCACAGGGCAGACTCACTCTCTCAGCAGGTAGGCGTTCTCTGCACAGCTTAACCCATGAGCGGATCTTATTTGCAGTGGTTAGTGGCCCGCATCAGGGCGGACTAGAGGCCAGTAGCGCCCTGAACAAGCTCACCAATAAAGCTGTCCTTGAGTCTCTTCAATTTTCTTTGTAGTACCTTCTACAAGATTCCTAATTAGCAGGCGCTTGTGGTAGGCCATATAGATGAAAGCTGTCGGAACGTTTCGCGCGCTTGTACGAATGCATAAAAAGCCATTGCCGTACTATAATGATTCGAAACATCAACAAAGCGATTTTTTTCGCAGCGGCTCTGAGAACCTACAACACAACTTCGATTCGATGCGGCATGTCGCAGTCACGGGAACCAAGATCCTGCGTAATGGGGACGTGCAGTTCAGCGTGAAAGAAGCAACGTATCTGGAATTTCCGGAAACAAAAATCATAGACTCATCAAGCCAAGACAGTTTCTAACCCTTCTGTTACGTATGGTTTTATAAGAATCTAGAAACCATCACTTCGATTTATTAATTTATAATAACAAAGACGGTGTCCACTTTATGCGCTCTGTCCGTTAACATTGGTGTATTGATCTTACAGCATGTTTTTTAGGAAGCCTGCAGTAATGAAAAACTAGCGTCACTTTACATCATTATTTTTACCGATGGGGTTTAGACTTGGTTTAGAAACTGTTTATTTTTATAATGAATTTTGGCATATGGCTTTTATATAATGTGTGATCAAATCAACCATATCACTTTCACCCGAGCCTTACTATTTGTATATACTATGTTCGATATAACTTCATAAGGCTTTAAAACCTTGAATGCGAAAATCTTCATACGAATATTGGCGTGAATGATTATATCGAACTGTACCATGGAGCTGTCAGGTTTTTATTTAAAATAATAAAACCATGGCCTTCTTAACCAAAGTACACCATAACTGATAACGGACATTCCATGCTCTATAAATGTGTATTCTTCTACACAATCACCATACGTTAGAAGACGCCTTCCATTGTCTATGATAGAAAGGTTGCATAATGTTGCAGAAGGTTCTAACTCATTACAATGTTGATATCAAATTAACTGTCAAGCTCCAGTTTGAGGACTTCAAAATGAAACAAGTTCTGCTGCTTCTGTGCACTGAAGTTAAATTCGTTGGGATATTAAGGGAAATCAGCAGCCTAAGGGAACCGCGTTTCTAAAATTCATGTCCTAAACCAATGTTAGTGATAGGTGTAAAGTTGACAAGAGCAAGTTGTTTCTAAGAGTAAATTATTGGCGTTTTTTAGCATATAGATTTTCAGATGTCCATTACTTCTTTTTTTTATCAAATTGAAATTATTATACTTCGTGGCAATTATTGCAAATTGTAACCATCCTAAATGTTACTTTTTGTTGACTTTGTTGAATATTACTTTGTTGTTTGACTTACTTTGTTCTCCTAAGAATTTAGGTAAAAGCAAACGTTTACCTTGTTATAGGCACTGGTCTGAAACAAAAAGAAAACTGATCTACATTGGATAACACTTTCTGCATATAACTTGTAATACACAAATGTGATTGTGAATGTTCGGATGTGGAAACTCAAGCTACCTAAAGAAATTAAAAGGCAACCTTATCTTGCTTCGAGCCTTTCAACATTTTATTTACCACTTAATCTCTCGGAGGGTGGTGGACGCAATGTGAAGATAAAAATTCAAAGCAAGCCTCTTTTTCTTTCAAGTTTTGTTGCTCACTAATAATTTTTAGTTACTACTATCTCTCACCGTCCAGTGTGCATGAATTATTAATAATGTACTGTTAATAGTAACTCCCAAAGTAAAAAGAAACTATGAATCTATCAGTCTACCAGACTCACTGGTAGATTAACAGATTCTCACTGCCGAGTCCAGGGAGTTATGTTTGCCAGTTGCTGTTGCGCTGCTATGCTTAGTAGAATTTGATTATTCTGTCGGTCTGTCAACGCTCAGAAGAAATTATTTATTCGACTGGGCTTTCCCATAATTAAATAACTACGTGGCCCTCACTTATTTTTGCATGTTTTTTTTGTGGAATCTTTCCTGGAACTAACGCATGAAAAATTTTTTGGTTACAAATTATATTATAACATCTTCTCATTCTCTTAAGTAAGGTTTCGGTTTTATAATATAGCTAACATTTCAAAAGGTCAAAAGGAATCGAGAAAAAATAGAAAAATGCCATTATATCTTTCTGACTTCGAAACATGCTCTAGTTTCTTTGTAGTCGGATCGGAGAACTTCGGTCACCTTTACCAGCCGTAAGGCCGACGAATGGTACGTCACACCGTTGACAACGAAAAGCGATTTGGCCATCATTGTTAGACATTTATCGTTGGCATCTGCCCTATCATCAAGGGGGACAAACTGAAATTTTACTAATGCCTCTCGGAGCATTTTGAACAGGCGATGACCTTGCATAGCTTTCATCAAATACGTGCGAACGATGGCAGCAATAGGAATTAACAGTAGGTAACTGTGATAGATAGAATATTATGATCTGATCTGAAGAACAGTCGGTAATAGTCTTCATGGCTATCCAGAGCACGGCGCACATTGAGTCATGAGTACAGACGATGGGTTCTAAATACGAGCTATGGACCCATCTTTAATGAACGGTTAACATCAACGATCACGCATAGGCATAAACAACTTCAGCAATAACAGTATTAGTTGCAGTGGCAGAAGTAGCAAAGGAAAGCAGTAGGCGGCAATGTTCTACTCCTACCTAAGGATAGGAGTTCGGGTTAGCAGCATGAACTGCACGCATGAAGCTCACTCCGTCCATATTTCTTATCATGTGCTCCACAGCTCGAGCGCCTACCAGTTCATGTACAATTTCCGCCCTTGGAACTCTTGCCAGATGCTGCAATAGTTTTGGCAAGCATTTCTCCACCCAATGAGCGGGTAGGCGACTGCAAACAAAAAAAAAACAATTATGTGAGCACAAGAAACTACAGTGAAAACGTTGGAAAGTTTTCAAAATTTTCTGTTCACTAAGAGAATTGTGAAGAAGCAAAAATCTATTCTACATAAATAACTATCTGTCGACAAACATCGTGAAACAATCACAGGCCCACACTTATGAAGTCTTTCGTCGTAAGGTTCAATTATCTTACTTAAGCTCCGAGTCTTCAGCACATTCAAGGATTCGACCAATGAAGAAAAGGCCAAGTTTGGACTCAACGGCCATTGCTGGCGCCTTCAGTAGACAAGTGGTGAGAGAGACCAGTTGCTCCATTGTGCACCCGTGGAAAATACGCGCAAACACCTGTTGCTTTTGAGCGAATACCATATCAGACCCGTCGCTAACCAGCAGCGTATCAAGGCGACGCAACATTATACTAACCAATTCCAGTACATGATCACGCAGAGATACCTCTGACCAAAGATGAGCAAGTGTATACATTACCTGTAACGAAACATTCTTTTTACAGACCCTATCTCAAAAAAAAAAGAAATTTTGGAAATGTACTGTTTTGGTTAACCCTGTTATTTGACGCGATTTCTTTTTCTGACCTAATAACACACTTGTGACAGATTTGCTGTTTCTGAAAATCGTGGGTATCGATTTTGAATAGTCTTTAAGTAATAAGGAGGATTTTCATACTCGTCAACAAAATTTTGCAGCAATGAATTAAAAAGTTCGAATTGAGTTATGTACGCAGCTACTGCAGTTCGAAACTGATACTTCGTGGGTGAATTACAAGCCGGCACCATTAGTGACTAAACTGTGATTTAAAACTCACCAGTCTTCGGGAATGCACAAGTCGAACGAGATTGCAGACGTTATCTGGTAAGACATTATCTGCAAGCTTCCGAAGAGCCTTGAGACGATCTTCCGCTGAGGGTGGCTCAGTGGGATCAACCAGCCTATCAAAGACATCCTCCATGATATCGATGACTGGTCCTAAATCTGCAGCTAATTCGAGCTGCTCCCATACCTTGTGTTTTAACTCCGTCATCTGGGTTTCAAAATGAACGTCGCCCGTTCTTTGATCAATTGAGCGTCGCTAATAATTGACAACAATAAAATCAAATTAGTAAACATTTCACTATAAGGACACAAGAAGAATACAGTACGTAATAATCTGTGACTAGGCCTTAAGTTTAGCTTTACAAATTTGAGATTTTGTCTTAGCAATAAGCCAAACAGGTGATTAATCAATAGATCAATAAGTATAGGAACGTAAGTCTAGCATCTCCAGAAAATGCAGTACAAAGATTATAAATCAAGTATGCTCAGTTAGTCTCGTCTACATATCACAAGTCGATTTTATGTCTTTTTGCTACTAAAATTACTGTGATTACAGCTCACACATGCTCTCCGATTTATCGTAATGCATCAGTTTCTCTGCATCTTCAGATTAAGAAAGGTCGGCAAATTTGTTACGTACTTGGCCATCACGGGTACATGTTGGGTCGTTTATTATGAAACGCAAGAATAGTGCTTTTTATGACGATGCGACACTTGGCTTATTTCTGTTTTTGACATGTATTTGCATTGCTTGGAAATTGAAATAGTTCATTAAAATATTATTACTCGTTTTTTAGTGGGCGAATTGCAGTGAGCTACTAAAATCACCAGTCAGAACCTATCTTGGAACTATGGTAACGAAGACAGATCGCCTGTTTTTCGGTGAGCGATCTACTACTAAAAATCTTGTGAACCGTTATGAACAGGAACGAAATTTTGACTTCGAACATGAGCTTTTAGAAATGCTCAGTGGATCAATAACGAACTGTTGTTGAGAGCTCTGATGAAAGCCGACCTATATACAAGCGCACGATTGTAAACACTTCGATTTGATGCAAATAACAATATCATATTAATTCTCCCAGTTAAATTAATAAGATAAACAACTGCAAAATGACTACCACAATGATTTGAAAGGGGAATAAAACATTTTTTCTCTCGCACTACAACGACTTATGACTCATGTACAGTTGCATAAGATTTTGGTATCTGTCAAGCGGCCTAGTGGAAATGTTACCCACTACAGCTCCTAAGTCCTGGTTCGTCGATTATGGCTGAGGCGTTTTGTTAGTAATTCGAGAAGATAATAAAATTAGGTAACAAAGTTAAGGCACTTTTATTACACGCGAACGCTCGACCTCACACAGCAAGTTTTACGGTGGCAAAGATGCAGGACTTCCAACTGGGTGCTATTTATAACTAATACCTAACTAGATATTGTTCTATACAAAATTTAGTAACTTCTTAATAAATTGTTCACATCGCAGTACGCACAACTGTTTTCATTATATCAGCTGCACCGGCGGGATGTATTCTTCCATCAAACTTGGCAACACTTTTCACTTATTTACTTTTGCAAAAGTCTTCCATGAGACTCACTAGGTACCCTAAATTTCCACCCTGGAATACTTCAAACCAACGTCTCGATGTGTTCCTAGTAGAATATACTTGACCAAATACAACGTTTATACAGCGAGCTAGGCTGTTATAGACTCCAAATGGACTCATATTCGTATTTCCCTATTTTCCATTGCTCACTGCGATTCCTTTGCCATAAACATGAGTGACGGTACTTGAGTGTATTGTATCTATATGTTTCGAAAACAAAAAGCGTTCTGAAATGTCGCGCGCTATAGAGCAGTACCATTTTTCAGAATAATCCATTTACTATGATACATTCGCATAGGAATTGCTGAAACGTACAGATCAAACGGTTGTTGTGTCCACATAGTATATTTTGCTTAGCATCGTTTTCAACCTAAGCGGTGGAAGAACAGGAAGGAAACTCATTTTGGCTGATGAAATTTTAACTAATTATGCTATTGTGTAATTAAGAAAACTTATCGCCTTAAATGTAAAGCAAGTATTTTCGATAATGTTCTTAGTAATTCGAAAACTTAGGCCAACAAGCATCTTAACTTAGCGATGAACTCGGCCATTTGACGTTTTTTGCCTCTGACTGTATGATTTATGTCGTGCACGACATTAAGAAAAAAATGAAGCAACTACCACAACATACTGGATTCAACTTATTTAATGATTGGTTGCCCGTAAAACTATATTTTATTTTAATCGAATAATTTTGGCACGTACTGTGTCTACTACTCTATATGTATAGCCAAAGTTGGAGCTCAGGAATTAGTTTTTCCACTATATTGTGTCAAAAACATTTTATATGCATCCTAATGGTCTCTCGCTGAATTCAAAGGCCGCGGAAATAGCTATGGTAGGTATGACATGTGCAGCGAGGACGAACTATTTAAAAGTGGCTTGCAAATCGCCGTGAATCAGCTTTGCTAATGAATACTTGTCTGTATTGGAACAAATATTCCAGGAAGCTGACAAAAATGTGAAACAAAGCAGGCGTTGGAAGTGCTGTTGTTGCCAGCCACAAGAAGAGAATACTTAGCGATGAACGATGGCAACGAAAGAAAAAACACTTGAGCATTTATATAGGGAATCAACAATGGAAAGCAACTAACCGGACCGCCAGCTAAACGGGAATCGCCAATGCCGCCATTAATGTTGTAATGATTGCCGCTACTACTGGAAGTGTTATGGCTGCTGTTTCCGCTGTTATTGCTTGCGCCGAGATGACTGTGGACGCCACTAATTCCGCTGCTACTGCTGCTGCTATTGTTCATGATCGAGTTACTTTCCTCGGCGGCAGCCTGCTGCTGCATCCTTTGCCACAACTCCATGTAAAAGTCGTACATGCGAGGATCTCGAATCTCGGGCAGTCTTGCACGACTATCTCCCCTCTCACCGCCGAAATTGGCAGGGTTCGTGGAAGAACCATCTGGGTCGTATCGTGAACAGCTACGTGAAGTCTAGGAAGCAAACAAACAAGCAACAGAGTGTATGTGTTGAGTTGCATTATCGTGATCGTATTTACTATGTAATCCATCTCATAGTAGTAAGAATAATAAGAGTAATTAAGAATGTTACAGTTAGCTGCTTTTTTGGAATCACTAAACATTTTAATAACAAAACACACATAAGAAATTGTAAGACATCATAAGGAAAGCGAAACAAAAAATGTATCCTACTCTGGTAACCGGATTCGTAGCAGCAGCAATGGATGCGTGACCCGAGTGTTGTTGTCCTCCCCCACCTCCTCCTCCTCCACTCGTCCCGTTTCCGTCCCATTTGCAATCAGAGCTGTTATTATTTACCCCGCTATTGGGGGCGTTAGTATTGTTACTGTTGCTGCTGCTGTTGTTGTTAGTACTGCTAGGAGCGCCGCTGCTGTTGCTATTGGTATTGTTAGGATGATGGTCGTGTATGTGTTGTTGGACTGCTTCGATACCAAACGTCTCGACGTTGCGTAGGTCGAAGTTTTCAGGCCGAATCGAAATTGCATTCCCGCTCTGACCTGTTCCGCCGCTGCCGCCGTGACTAGGAGCATTCGGTCCACTAAAGCGACGACAGTAATGACCATTTCCGCGCTCGGCACGTCCACCATCAAACCTGCCTGAGCCCCGACGAGGGGACACCAATGGTGCCGTTCCTCCAACAACCACGCGATCAGCATCGCCTCTTTCAAAAGAGATCTGGTGAACTGACTCACGTTGAGGAGCAGGACCATCGTCAGCATCAATAACGGATCGTTGTTGATGCAGGCTGCTACGACTAATATTTTCCCGGTAATTTTCTGCGATACACAAATATTTATTTACTGTTTAGCCTGATGTAATAAATTCCTAAAATCAATAAGAACAATTAAGTAGCGGTGCATGCAAGCGGATGTTAAGATGTTTGGAAGTTATTTCGATATAACCTGCTCTTGATAACAACAATTATTCCGGTATAAAATAACTGCTACGTATTATGCTCATTAACTGGTGCAACAACTAGTGTCTGAAATTGAGGACAACTTTCTTCATTGAATGCATGGGTTGTTTGTAAAGCAACACTTCGCCATTGTGACGGCGTCAGCTAACGCGTACATTTACGTGTGCATTTTTTAACCACAATCTCCAGTTTCAGCTGTCATTCGTACTAAGAGATATGAAGCCGTTAAGAATCAGACCGGCCTATGTCTTATGTCTTATCTACGTCTTATCCTACGTCCCTTGATGGAGACCGATTAAATTTATATAATAGATATATCTATTATTGTATTATTATGAAATGTACATAGTAGATATAATATAAAACTGATGGCTTCAAAAGATTATGGGACAGATAATCATACACGCTTGATAAAGGACTGATAGCATGTAAGAAGCAGCGATTATATACTTGAACCCACACACACACTTATTAACAGAAACACTTATTAAGCTAACAAAAGCTGACGTATTTATATAGCTGGTGTAATAATTATGTGCTAAAGACACAGGTAGTTTTATGTATTTGAAACTATAATTATACCAACTAGCCTGTTCTATTTACACATTAACGAAGTATAAATGTCAATATATACATATACATACGATTAAAGTAAATTTTTGGGTAACATAATTGCCTTTTTTGTTTCGCGACTGCTTGGAGATAAACATACATTATTATTATAGGCTGTTAATTGTCGCTGACGCCGCAGTTTCTACCGTAGATATGAACTGATCGCTTCTTAAATGAGCTTTCTAGTAGACGCGTCAGGTAAAATTTGACTGGACACGCTAAACTGGCACTGCGTGTTTTTAAGGTATATTCGGCAAGCTTCGCAGTAATATGTGAACCTAAAATTATCTAAAAATGTATAAATATTGATACAAATGGCGTTTGACAATACAACTGGGAGTTTATGTGGCAATATATGGGAAATTTTATTATAAACGCAATTTTCAGATACATGGTGGGTAGAATCCAAGTTCGGTATTGCTACAACTTGAAACAATAAATTAAGACTAAAACCTAGAGTAACAACTTTTTGAATGGGCATACAATGCAAACAAGCAAATTATTTAGGGTATACACATTTAGAGCATTTCGGTGTTGATATAACTAGATCTGATTAATTAGAATCTTGGAATCATAGCTAGTTGAATCTAGAAGCTTCCAAATTACCAGTCCGTGTTAAAAATATTTTTACGATTTTTTTAAAGAATAAACATCACTAACTTATCCGCGTAGTACACACGTTTTCTGAGGTCGCACAGGTTGTAACAGATTGGACAACTATAAGCATCCATAGCCGTAAGCGATATGGTGCTACGGTGCTCGCTAAGCTTGACTTCGTGTGGTCGTCAAGCATAATTTTAGTCTTAAATTATGACTAATATCATATAAAGTCCGAACTATCGTCTTGTTTTATGCAAGGTGAAAATTATTCAGATCCTCTCAATTTTTCATCAGACAATGATCAGTCACCACACACGACTTACAACCGCGTGCCTTGCTCGCGGTAATTGCTGAGCTGTGCGCGTACGAAAACCAAGTTCAAAAGAACGGTCGATTTTCGAAAAGATATTGGATTGTCGTATTGACCTACTTTATGATGCAACTGAATTATATAATATGGCGACTCTGACCTACCTGAGTGTTTTTAAAATTTCAATGTGGTTTGAGTATCCTCAAAGTGAATATTTTTAACGCTAGCACATTACTTCACAACAGCAACAAAATATGGACTGATGATTATCGTTTTCTAGTCCGGTCATTACTATTCAATCATCGCCAGACTAAGCTTCCTTACGACGCATGCTCTAAACACATCTAAGAAGGTCAAATAGAAGAAGCTTAAAAGACGTGCCACTCACTCTTATCCACTTGTAATCAACGATGGGCTACAGACAACAACTTGATCCCACATGTGCCTCCGATCTCCTAGGCATGATTCAAAGACATGCCCCCGGAATGGATATGATAAGATGGAAATGTTTTCTTTTTGAAATTTTGGGAGATGTTATATAAAGTCCTAAAGAAAATATTAGCAAACTTTACTTTTAAATAAGTAGCATAACGCCACGAGAAGCTATTATATTTAGATATAATACAAACTTTCGATGAAAGACCTATCTATAAAAAGTAACGTTTGTAAACTCTTTCGTAGATAACATCACAGGAGATAACTAAAATCTCTATAGTTAATATTTCATTAGAAAAATAAGAACTTAATTGAACAGAAGAAGACGCAAATAAAGGATGCGATGAAGAATATGAAGGGAAAATGCCTAATGTTAATTCTCAGTTTTTTGTAGCGTGGATGATAATCTGCAAAAGCTGAAAGTATTTCTGTTTAAAAAAATAAGCTTGTTCACTGTTAACAATAGGTCCGCTGCACGTTGCTTTCATCGTACAGTTTGAAACAAAGGTTAGCCAAGAGAGATTTGTATCTGTAACTATTGCGGTAAACTTTTCCCCATACTTTATGTTAACGAATGTATGGAAATCTTATGATGATAATAGTGATCAGTCACCTAGCGCATTGAGGTTCACAGCCATGAAGGATGTGATCATCTTACAAGACCTTACTTAAATGTTCATAGTGCTCTATACCTAATATGCTTCAACAAGGACATCCTAAGCATTTATCGTCTATCTATGCCCTTAGGCATATAGATAGATTTGCGCTCGTCCTCTTCCCGTAATGATAGGTTAATTTTTTTCCTTGTTCTGGTAGACATTAGTCAATTAAACATTTTCCCTTTTTAAAATTCGTATATGTAGGTATGTTTACATTTCTACAATGTCAACACGCTACGGAAGCAATTACTATCCTTACTTAGTTTGCGCGTAGCATGCTACACGCACAAAACATGAAAAATCATTACCTATTTCATTTAAATACTTCGTATTGCCTTTCACCTCCATTTCTCCATTTCCGACTTATTAAATCTATAATTCACTTTCTGATTTTCTTCCTGTGAATAGAATTTGACTGAGCTAATTTTAGTATTGAAGCCCGAAGCGGCGTACGTAAAACCAAGTGACTTGGTGACTTTGCTTTGTGTATCGATCGACCTTTCGTAAACCAAACAGCAAATGTTTTGGTCTTGCGTTTGGTTTTTGAACCGAACGCTTGTCATTATTGCTGCACACATCTTTTGGTAGACATTTAGTAGTAAATTATCTAGTGCAATTTAGCGGCTACAGGATTTTATAAGTAAAAATGATCGAACTTACCTTCTGATTTTTGCTTTCCTATAGTCCACTCATTTTCCTCCGTGTCGGGAGGTAACTGCTCAAGAGAGTCGCCCATTTCTCGACCTGCGAGTCCCTCCAATTCCTCGGTGGCGCTTTGCCGGTTCCCGTAGAGTTTTTTTAATGCTCCACAGCTACTGCCGTCCTGTTTCTGCATCGTGAAATCCAGGCCTAGATGCGAAAGAGTTGAATCAATCAAAAACGCCATATTGTCTTTCTCTTGATCATTGTCATCGACTCCAGCACGCCTCGAACATCGTCCCGAGACCTCTTCGACTGAATCATCGGCTTCTTTCTCTTTTAAGCTTGCAGAATCACCATCCGTCTCGGCACCGTTTGATATCGTCAGTGTGCTACCTGACTCAAATTCACCCTCTTCCCAAGTTTCTAAAAGCATAAGCATACCCATTTATTAGCACTGTTGATTGGGGATCCTGGGACTACTTTTTTCAACGTTGTTTAGAATACGTTTGCTCCCAACAAGGGGCTAAGCCCAACAAAATACTTTTAATAAAGAATCAATAAGAAGAAATTTGTGTATGTATGCATTTCTCCTTCAATAGTACCGTTTACGATACATTGACTTAAAGTAACCGAAATAATTTTAGATTCAATAAACGGTAATAACTCAAATGAAGATGGCCGTTTCCAAATCTATCCCCAATAGAAAACAAACAGATCTTCAGTATGAGCCCAATTAGTTTCATAAATAAAGTTAATTGATAGAACTGGACATAATGAACATTCATATTTTTACGTTTATTTACAACATTTACCTATGAAATGTGAGTCCTTTAGGTAATCTAAGCTATTGACACCAGTTATATCAGATAGTAATTTGTAGTTATTCGAATCTAGTATTCGAATTACGATGGAGTAATACTTCCTACAATTCGTAGCGGATTTTTCGTACTAATTTCACGAAAAGATTGTATCGTTAGAGCACGACGAAGAGACTTCTAAAAAAATGAATAGTTCATTATCAAAGTCATGTCTTTGCAATTTTTATGGTATCTATACTTATGGATCTGTAATAATTTACGAAGTTGTTACGGGTTAGACATCTGCTCTTGTGGTTATATACGTATGATTAAAGACGTGCATTTCTATTAGTATGTGAAAAACCGCAGATTAGTCTAAATTGATTCCGAACGTAAGATATAAGTCAGCTAGAAACTAAACAGTACGCTACTTCGTTAAATTTATCTCGTTAAAGAAAGTTGTTCTTTCCCCTTTAGAATCGTTTTAAAATCCTTTTAAATTATACGCGGCTATATTAACGTCATAAAATGTTGGTATAGAATCTCTTCGGCAAACGGGTCTCTTCAAAATAGCCTTTGCAGCAAAAATTTCGAAGGAAAAGCAGCTATATGTCTTAAACAGGACACGGCGTCCGACATGGTAGACAGCGATATGTCTTGAAATACATGTGAATTAGATGTCCATTTTGACCAACACGGTGACTGATGAACCCGCGTTATAAAAAAGTTTCGGCGTTTTTTTTAAACGAATGTTCGAGAAAAGCTCTACTTTGCTTGTAGGACGAGATAGCTTTTACGTGTAATGAACCAATACAAACGAACGCATCTCCAATGACCACAGCTTTTAAACTGCCGCCAAATAACCTAACCGATTGACCTTACACGCTGCGTCCAAAATGAGAAGTGTATGCATGTGGATCATCGTGATTGAGGCACCTTAGCGGTTCGATGCGTAAATGTTTACAGTAGACTAAGATTGAGCTAAACAGATGTTTTATCTGCACACTTTCTACACCACCAGACCTTAGATAAAGCAGATATTCGAATAGTGGAATTATGCAAACCTTCTACAATATCCAACACGGCATAAAAAAGTTAAGTCGACAGTTCTAGTTGAACTTTGCTCTATTTAAGGAAGCACTTTGTACCCTCAAATACCTAAAAACAAGAATATTCAAGTTTCTATAAAAATTAGTTGCTACTTATAAAAGACATGTTGATAAGCCTTCCAAATGAGACCTGTTATAGGCAAGCTTGTGACGCTGTAGCTACGAGGTTAACCGTGTACGAATGATTTAGTCCAAAGGTCTGCAGGAGTTTACACGAAAACAGAAAAATAAAATGAGGTACTCTTTGCCTCACCCATGGTACCGAAGGTCTCTTCGTTGAAACTATCGTAAACCTCTTCCCTGGAATCCGGTGGAGGGCTGCGTGTCTCAAACAAAGCCTTCAAATTGTTTTCCATCGTGTTTAGTGGATGAGCTTTCGGTGATCGTCGACAGGGTTAGTGTCAGCGCTATCGATGTGACGCTGGCGTCCAATGTAACTTAACCAAATCACGTTGCAGGGCACGTTCGATCACAAAAGTTCAGCTAACCAACGCACACTTCGTTCGACTAGAAAAAACCATACGACGACAAGAGGTTTACCGCCGCCATCTTGCTAACACCAACCAGATTTCCGCTGCTTAATCAGTGCGCTGCTGTTGCAGTTCTGCCGCCACCACTGCCGCGACAAAGTGATTATTATTATTATATTAGCTGATATCTATGTGTTATGAATTATGATTAATGTGTGTTGGTGCGTGCCATCGTCTAGCCAGTATGTTAAATGGCAACGCGCATTTTAAAATTAATGGCGCCAACGTGCTAAGATGCTGGCCGATGATGATAGTCGCTGTCAACAAGGATTAGTGCTACTTTGCTATAAACAGTTTAGGCTAATTGAAGGCTCAGCTTATTCAATCGGCGGTCAAAGTCAGGGACACCTAGAGGATAGCTGATCACTCAAGTTCTTACATTATCTTTTTTACACATCTGAGCCCTGTTCGTCTCATCCGTTATATAAATCAACGTGCCCTAAACTGAAATGTATGCGGCACTGATCCACAAGTTGTCACAGAGTACAACCTTCACTTAGGAATTCAGTACCATGTAATATAGTATAGTTACATTTACCAAGATCGATCAAGAGTTCTGGGCCCACACTATTCTGTGTCAAGTATTTCGAGTATGCCTTCCTTTCTATAAGGTGAATCCTATAAAAAACCAACGAGTTAGTAATAACTAACCAGCTGTACTGCCGTTGGGGAATCGTTAACGAGACCTCATTGTTAAGTTCTTGTACAGATTACGGACTCACCCTCAACTTGAATTACCCAACTACATGGTATAAAAGGCTGCCTGCCCTAGCACTGCTGCCTTTGTGCTAACTGGATCTGATTTTTTTACACCCGGAGAGGCGATGATGAACAACGCACTCATAGTAAAGATTTAGCTTCGTTATCCTCGTGTAGAATAGTCATCAGCCATAAAAAACGAAATATAATCACTACTTTTTCTTTTTTTGTTGTCTTCAATGACGTTCCGTCGATTATGTGGAACAGATTAAGTGGTCGTACGTTTCGTGTCGTAAAACTGTGTTACTCCTATGAATGGACATCGGTCGTTTTCTGGGCTAAAAGTGAAGGCAGAATTACCACAAGGCAAACCCAAATGACTACAAATAGTTAAGTTCACCATTACAACACCCCTAAGACAAATTTAAGTTTATTACTTGACCTCTCTTATTTTACTTATGCACAGGCTAAGGTTACCTGAGTAAGTTGCATAACGCTACACTTCGAATCAGATTTACGGAACACAGTTAAATGGAAAACGTACGAAAACATACAGATAAACACAGCTAAAAGGAAAGAATCCAGCTTTTTATGGGTCACTACATTTCAGTTAAAAGTGCTCCAGCGCCGTAAATGCTGGCGTCTCCAAAGAAACAAACTGGCTTTTACGTTTGTATGTAGTTAGTCAACTTAACCTATACACGTGGCCTGTTTACGGCTAAGTCTAATCCCACAGGAGAAGTTTATTTGAGGTAACAATAAAACAAAATTTGTGGATTGCATCACTTACGGGTACAAAGTCGCTTAAAATTAAATCGCCTGTAAAATTTCATAGGAACATAAATCCAATGTGCAGAATCGGTACAAGTAGATGATTTGGTCCAGCCCATATTTTGCCCGCAACTAAACCTCCGCATCATGTAAATACTGTCAATGGTTTAGTTTTTCAAAACCAAGCTGCTGTTTCTCATCAAATAGATTTGTCATATCGCTTAACCACTATTGACTTAAATCTGCGATCATTTTTTGACAAGAATGGGCAAGACGCGGCAACAATCCATGTAAAGAGCATTAATATAATTTTTCTAACTAACGTGTAAAGAAAGTATGCATGATTTATTCAATACACAAATGCTCTTAGTAACCTGAATTAATGTCGGCAACTCATTAAATAAACATAGTAAAGGCTGCACTGAAAAATAGTTAGGTCTTCGGAGTCAATTACCTTGCTTTTCGGTACTAGTGGTCCGTGATGTCAACTCTCTCCTTGACATTCTACATCGGCCTGTAAATTTAATGTAGCTCCTTGCTATCCATTTTTCGCGTTTTACTCTTGTTCCATATACACTTTAAAAGACCCACACAAGTTTCGGCCTTGCAGCCAGATTATGAGAACAACCGTCAAATGTTGGCTTTTTTTATAGTCGCACGCAGACACTTATGAAGTCCGTAATCAAAGCTTCTGGCGCTTCTTTAAATGTTTGTCCTGCATCATCGTTTGCTAATCATCGCTATATGAACGGCACTAGTATTACACCTGATGAAGAGCACTCAATTGTTACAGGGGATCAGAGGGACATCACAGTGTATCGTACTCGTATGTCATTTAAACGCACGAGATGAACAGATCGGCAGATCTGGAAGCATTGATGGCCGCATTTTAAAACATGTATTGAACAGGCTTAAAATTGGAGAAAAACATTAATGTCAAAGGAGAGAGTCAATGCGTCGAACGCGTTATACAACCCGAGAATATTCTACCTTATCCTCTTGATATGCTTTACTTTGTTCTGATATTGAGTCTACTAGCCTCCCCCACGCATTCTTGTTACCAGTTTGCTCCGAGCATTGATATCCGGCACGAAAACAAAGAGTTTCCTGTACAACATCCAAAAGTTGGCAACATGATCCCGTCGAAATGGACTAACGTGAGGAGACTGCCTGTCGCTTATCACCATAGTATTCAGCCTAATCAAAACATGCGCTACTATTGGGATTAGATCGAATGCTAAAAGTGTCGTAGAGGTTTGGGTCGCCTATTAATTATGTCGAGTTGTAGCTGATACAAAAGAAGAAGAAGAAAGATACAAAATTGAGACCTGTGCGTTCTTTGATATCATATGACTAATAATTAAGTTTCGATTACTAGCTTGCGACCCGCTAGAATTCGTGTCTTTATCGATAATTAATATGATCATCTTCAATACTATGTTAAAAAAAAGAACCTTCGATTTAACAGCTTTATATGGCGGCAACGACTACAGTAGGGAGAATCAATTCAACCAAACCTGTAGATTAGTGACTTTAATCCTCTGTCAACAGTTCCCTATAATCAGAAGGCTAAGTTAATCGATATTTGCGTTCAATAATGTTTTTGAACATTGTTTCAGACGGTTGGTCCCCAGCGTAAATCCGCATGCGTCGACAGTACATTATTTCAAATACAGACCGGCTTAAGTGGCCAATTACCTCACAAATAACTAAGACGAAATAGTAACTTGTCTGTTACTAATTGAGCGCGAAGTTGCTTTGTTATTATAAATACTTTTTCCCCCTAAATTAAAAAGCAAATAATAAAAAATATGACACCTGTAAGCGGGATATATCAGGCCGTTGTAAGCGAACTCTGAAGGGTGATGATTTCTTAACATGTGATACTTTCCTTTATTTCTTATACATCTGTCCTAACAATCGGCAAATATGTTCGATGCAAACAAATCAGGTACAATGACCGAAATAGTAGAGTAAAGCATGTTTAGTAAACAGATCTTAAGACATTTTTGTAATTAGGAGGAGCCCTATGGGGAAAACGATCAAGAACGGGGCGGATCTGGACCAAACACTTTGGATCAAATTGATATGCACGTGTTTCCGTTTTAGCCTAAATTAGGTAACTATGGGCGTTTGCTACATGTGGAGTTCCTGCTGCATCTCTTAGAATAGAACAAAATAGTTCTATTATTTAGTTCAAGTTTTTTTTTTACAGTACTCTTTGCGTGTGGCAACAACTCTGACCGCTAACACCTTCCCTTATAACGGTACTTTACACAGTGTAGTCTATTCCAACTCTCCACTATGTGCGCATACAGAATGTAGCTTTAACAGGTTTCCGCTGATAACGGCAGGGTCGAATGAAAAGCATTTTAGCAATATTAGTCAACGATCTGAGTCGCAATACTAGTAAGTCTAGAGCCTCATATCAATGGAAAAGTCATTTGAAACTAGCAAGAGATAGTCACCATGCTGAAGAGAAACTCTATCTGATAAATTATTACATCTGGCCCTTGATCGATAAACAAGGTATCTATGAAAACTTCTGACAGAACTAGCTGCCTAAATGCGTAACGGTTTGTTATATCAGTTCATCAATCGTATTGAACTAGAAAATCATCTGCCGTTTTGCCAAATGCCATGTGCAACGAAAGGTGGCGCCTAACGTACAATGTACACCGCACGCGCTTTCCTTCAAAACGGCAACAAATACTGCTTTTGGAGATTTCAAAAATACCTTCTATTTAAAGAAACGCGTGGAAATTCTGCGTCGTGGAAATGGCTGCCTGCGACGAAAGCAATGAGAGTTGCTGCTACAGGTTGTTACCCTAGAAACAGTGTTCTATGCTCGCGGGGACAAAGTCGGCAAATCATCGGGAGTCCTTGACTAGGCTTACACCAAACTCATCCACAAAAGTGGGCCTGATTGCTCATTTGCGCAGGGTTACGCGTAAAGATAATGAAGCGTAGTTGGAAAGCGCCGCTCAGTTCTGGAATGGCTCAATTTGAGTCGACGCGTCCACAAAGACGGTCAATGGGCCAAATAGAAGAGGGTGGGATCAAACAACGTAAAAAACTGCCCACGAAAAACTCCGACTGAATGTTAATTTCGACTAGGCAGCAACCAACGATGCTGGCAGCAAAACATTTGTTTGAGGGTACATCTGATACGTATGCCCCTGGACATCGTAAATTAACACGAGGAGGCGACGGAAAGCTTATGCAATAACGCGAGATGAACGTACCTTAACAATGATCTGATGCAGGCGCAAACCCTCACATCTGTGGGGCTAAGAACATCTAGCGCTTGGGTCTCTTAGAGGTTATGCCACAATCTCGCCCTATTTTCTTTTTTTGACAAAGAATATTTCTGGAACCAAATTGCTTATGACTGCGCAGTCCAATAATTATATCGATAAGGACTGTGATATGCTCGGCGGTGTTTTTAATACAAATAATTAAAATATTTACTGTTGTAATTCTACAATTATTACCAATGGATAAATTAGCAACATTATGCATAAAATTGTTATTATCATTTTAATCTCAAAGTATACGTGCTACTACAAATATGGCGTCTGCAGTACATGATCTACTGAGAAATGTATAAAAAAAATAAAATCAACAATTCAAAGGCATGAGGCGTTTGTTCTTGTTTTTTTTTATCTGTTTTCTGCTGCACTGTTTCTTATTATAGGGAACTTTCTGTGTTGACATTGAGTTAAGTTCATTATATACTTGTTTTCTCATTCCATTCATTTTATTCCATGGTATCTTAGATATTTTTTCAACTACGCCGATAGCCTATTGACTTCGCGCCATATTTACAAGTAACTCATGGCATATGGGTGCGTGTGTGTGGCATACGTGTTTTTCAAGCTCAACTATCTCCACGACACTGTGGGCGTCTACCATGCCTCGGCGAGGATGGTCCAACCGTTTAGTGCTTGGTGCTTATTGAACCAGGTATCAGCAAACACGTAACTGTTTAGTTTTTCGTTAACTTGTTCCAGCAAACTCGGGTGCCAAACTCTTAATGGAACCTGTGCGTTATCGCCAAATAATAAACTACAGATACTCTGAAGTAAGCGTTGCGCATTCACAGGCATTGTATTCAATCTGATTTCCACGAAACCGTCCACCAGTACTGATAATGGTGATTGCCAACGGGATATATTTATTGCAATTTAACTTATGTAGCACACGCGATCCAGATTGACTTTATCGGTTTTCAGAGTCCTAATAGTAGCAGTGAACTAGCGGGTCACAGAATACGCGCAAGAGCCCTGTCAGCACGTGTTACTTATGCCTAAACAGATCGATGTCAGTGACCTGTTAGGTAGGACACAATATAG